GGAGTCTACGCCAGAGTGTCCCGTTACCAGACCTGGATCAACTCCCACATCCCCTCTGATAAGCCAGGCTTTGTCCAGTTCACCTCCAGTGGGCTGGATGCTGACAGCAGCTACACCTGTCCTGGCCTGCCACTCTCCACAACAGTTTCCCCAACAACAGCATCCACTCCTCTTACTACAACTCCTTCTCCTCCTACTAATCCTGCAACAACTCCTTCAAGTTAGTGTCTTATTTTACCAACCTTTCCAATTTCAGACGACAAAAAATGAAGGACATAGTTTTATTTTATTATTGTTTGCTTTCTCCATTTCTAAACCTTTCACTTCTTTCATTTAGGGCCAGTCTGCGGTAAAGCTCCTCTGAACAGTCGCATCGTAGGTGATCGTGGTATTGTAACTGGAGGAACATGGCCCTGGATGGCGAGTCTCTACAAAAATGGGGTCTACACATGTGGAGGAACTTTAATTGCTAACAAGTTTGTCCTCACCTCTGCCCTGTGCTTCTCTACGTAAGTCTACATGCAGCATGTTTATCATTTTTATTTAAGACATCAAGTATTGAAGATCTATTTCTGAAGCTAATTTCCATCCTCCTGACAGTCCCAATCCGGATGTCCGTGAGTGGAGAGTGTCTGTGGGCCAACGACTTGTGAACGGATTTGATGAGTTTGAGATGTCTGTGGGTGTTGGGCGCATTATAGTGAGCAATGTATTCAATATTGCACTGCTGCAGCTGGATGAACCCATCAACTTCAATAATTACATGCAGCCTGCATGTTTAGACCTTAACAATGCCAGATCATTCCCTGTTGGGACTCCGTGTTGGGTCGCAGGTTGGGGCACTGGCAGCAAGAATAAAGGTAAGGTTTTGTCAAGGTTTTGTGTTTGTTGCAGTGTTTAACTTTTACAACGCAAAATATTTGTGGATCCTTCATAGTTGCCTCATTACAGATTGATGACTCAGAAACTGTATTCATGTGAATAAATGCTATCAATCTTGTAGGCATTGGTAAAGCTGACACAACTCTTCGAGATCTTGAAACTCAAGTGGCAAGTTGTGGTAATGTCTCTGACTCAGAGAACATTTGCACTAACACCATGGACCTTCAGCAGGTAAAAAACAAATCCCATCTACCAGTTTATCTCTCATCGTTTAGGTTCACAAGCTTTTAGACTGGTAATATTAGGACCGAGCTGATGATGAACCTGTTTTATATCCACAGGGGGATCAAGGCAGCCCTCTCCTGTGTAAGTCCGACTCATCATGGTTCCAGGTAGCTGTTGTAACAATGAATGGGAGAAAATCTACCCGTGCAGATGTTCAGGTCTTTCAAAAAGCTTCAAACTATGCCTCACTGGTAAAGGAGACAGTTGGCGACATGCCGTCCCCTGAAGCTGTAACAGGAAGTTCACCAAGTTTCTCCATTTCCTTATTCTTGTCTGTCACTGTCCCCATTACCTCGATGTTCCTGTTGCCTTGAGCTGCTTGAAGCAGTTCGATATTGCACTAAAATATCATATAAATGCACTTATAACACTCAGGTCAAACTGAAGAACATCTTCATATGAGGCACTTCCAATGAAGTTTACATTTTCACAACAATAAAAGGTATTTTATTGTACTGTGATACTTTTCTTTTAAACTCATTATTCAGCAAGATGTCTTTATTCAAATCTGTTTTATTGAATCTGGTTAAATGAAGGACAGCGTGTACATTGTTTGTTCTGTCACATGTCATACTTATGTTGTGTCTTTGTTGTCTTTCTATATAAAATGTATATATGAAGGTATATCTTCACATGAAATGCAATTTTATTCACATATATAATAAATACTGATGAAGCATAAAATGGATGTTTGTTTTCAAAAAATACAAATTCAAAATATTTCAAGATGACACATTTCATAATTTATTTTTAAACAATGCAGTTCACACTCTCAACTGTAATAATACAGTTGTTGTTTTTTTAAGCAAGTTAGCAAGTTTAAGCATTTTAGAAATTTTACAGTACATAATGTGATAAAAACTAGAATACAACAGCTCATACTGTACAATTTTTTCCCATCACACAATGGACTGTATGAAGGGATTTCTACAAATTAACACACATTTGCAGAAATGTAAATGCAGAAATGTTTCATTGTCAACCAGCAAAATATGGTTTCTAAAAGATAAAAACTCTAAAGCTTAGGCTGTGTTTAAAATCATTGCTCATGTGCCTCAAAGTGCACTACATGTGTAAAGTGTAAACTTTATGCTCCATATAGTGCACGAAATCTCAATTAACAGTTTACCACAATGCAAATTACTAAATGTCGACAATATATAACAGCAGTTCCCAACCTTTTGTTTTACTGTGACGCCTTAAATGAACCAATAGTGTGAGCAGTTGATAGACGGATGTTTTCCCTGCTCACACTGTTTCATTTAAGTATTTTTTGAGCTCCAGAAGGCTAAAACATTAAAGTTGTAAGTGTTTCTTTAAAAGGAGAATAACATTGATACCTGAAGTTTGTTTTGTGACCCTCAGGTTGGGAACCTCTGCTATAGACAATAGTGAATGACTATACAAGGGAGGGATTTCAGATGCAAACAAGCTGTATTTTAAATTACCGAATCAGAGCTATCGGCACAGAACCATGTTCAGTCCTGAACATGTCGACAAGTTCATTTGAGATTAAAAATGCCCAGGTGCTACTGGTACAAATTAACTCATGAGAGATGAGAGTGCCAACTAGAGATGCTGAATCTGTTTTGTTCTGATGTCAGCACCAGTCGACAAGTCTAACGGATCTGAAAATACCGGACTTCTGTGAGATACAAACGGCTTTTTTGTGTTTTATTCTGGTGCATCTCCATCAATCCCTGGATCCGCTCCACCGTCTGCACCTTCATTGATCATGTTTTGGTATTTACTCTTGAAAAATCCAGCCTGAAAACACATGAAAGAGAGTTACATGAAAACACTGCAATCCTACAGTAGAGTTGTATCATAAATGATTGAAAGGATACAAAGCAGATATGTGAATAACTGTTCAATATGTGTGTGAAAATTAGAAGACACTGCTATATATTTTTATTTTATTTTTTTCCCCATAAAGACGTCCTTCCCTCATAAAGCTGTGTAATAAACTGAAAAAGTGTGTGAACAGTGCCTCACCTTGTACAAACCAGCAGTGAGTAAAGCCAGGAAAGCCAGTCCTCCCAGGGAACCTCCAACGATCTCTTTGGTGAAATCTGGTTCAGGATACACCTCAACTTCTGTCTCAATCTGAGAGAGGAGGTGACAGAATATGGATGAAACTAAAGCTCTTTTATAATGCTAATAAGAGAGTCTAATATGTAATCACCTTGCGAACAGGAGGATTGTTATTAGACCCAATTGAAAAGAAGATATACTGGTTTCTGTCATACTCCAGACTGGCAGTGCTGGTCAGGAGGAATTTTGCAGATTCAAGTCCAATCTGAGGGGGAAAAAAATCCATGTGTGAGCCTTTAAATTAGATTTTTAGTATCGTCAAATGCCACAAGAAAATTGGTATCTTACAATATTTCATACCAAATGTATTAAAACATGTCTCAATGCAGCACAATACCTGCTGGATCCAACCTGAGCTAATGTTGGCAGAGATTGTGTACGTCTTAGTGTCCAGTCTTTCCATGAATCTGCTGCACTTGAACACTCTACACGTGGCTACAGAGCAGTCCTGTGGGTGAATAACGAAAACTGAATGCAAAGAAAGCCATAAGATCATTTCTAAATTTGTAATTAGGTTAAATTTCAACATACTCACCACCACCTTAGTTTTTTGAATCTGAGCAACAAAATCTCGGACAACAGGTTTTTCGTCTCTGTTTTGTTTTGGGCAATCTGGAATCTGAAGACATTTTGGTCAGTTTGACTCATTTTTATTCCAGCTAGCTTTCTACAGTTTGACATATTTCTGGGGTCAGCAACATGTTTTACCTCCAAGCTGCTCAAATTCGCCCAAATGTCTTTATCGCCGAGCTTTACCGGAACCCTGATCACCACAGTGAAATTCAGCGCCCTGATGTCATTTGTAACCTACGAAATGGGAGAAAAGAAAAGGATGGCGCATCAGAGGTTGATGAAACATTGAGATCAAGTCTAAATCAAGCAGTGAACTTAAAACAATACAAATTATTATATGAAGTCAAATTTTTACCTTGATTGGCTGCTTGACTGGTTTCTGCAAATCATTCATTCCAAAAGTGAAATTATTGTAGCTGAGAGAGCTAAACAGACATTTCAAAACATTTAATAAATATTAGAAAAAAAAGAAATTACTATTAATATTAGTCTTTATATATATATGTATATTTTTGCTTTGGCTGGAATTACACAAACCTGTCGATTGTAACAAAAATGCTGTATTTCACATCAATCCCTTTCTTTTTGTAGAGTTCACCTTTAGGGTCGTGCTCCTTATTTCCACTGAAAGAAAAACGGGAAAATAATTATATATGTATGGTCATAGGTCTGTTGCACAAATGAGGCGGATGTAGCAGATGAACAGTACCTGCTGGCGTTTGTGGTGATGTAGATTCTTCCATCAAGTTGACTGTCAGTTTCAATCCCGTAGGCGACAACGAAGAAAGCCTTAAACAAAATGAATGAGAGCGATCAGACTGTCTGTTATTTGGCTCAGTGGTCTGTGGAGCAGCGGGGACACAAACAACCAACAAACCTTAGCGTTGTTCTTGAAAATAGGCCTGTCGACGGTGCACTGTGTCTTTCCTGCCACTAAGCCATCCTCACTGTCCAAGGATCTGCACTCAATTCGTCCCTTTATTAAAAGAATGATAATAAAATTACTGTTGTGTGGCTTCGGAGAGCAGCTGACCAGAGATGAACAAAAACACATTTGATCCCGATGTCGTACCTGCAGAGCTGTGAACTTCCTATAAGAGAGTCCGGGTGGATATGTGAGCGTAACCAGGCTGTTGTAGGAGTTTTCTCCGCTGTTCTCCATTGAGACGGTGACATTCAGGAGCTCGTCAATGCCCACTTTAACCTCTAAGGAGCTGCCACATTGGAAAGAAGGACAAGAATGAAGGTTGAGGACACCAAGACCATGGTGATGCCACGGACACTGACACAGGATTGCTCTGAGATGAACTCTAACATGGTGACAATGGCAATGCTAACGTCCTGATAATAAGTATGTATGATATTTACCGTGGTCACCATCTTAAGTTAGCATGCCAACATTTTCTAATAGCAAAAAATTCAAAGAACAGTGGATTCTGTCACCGGTTTCACAGGTATTGCATAAAAATGTGATGTCTACTGCAGCATTTAGAGGGATCTATTGGGTTTCATCGCTGTGTAGTCACTTGATAATTGAAATTTCAACGTTTTATTGGTTTTACTATGTTTTACTGCTAACACTTAGTATGTTATTTACTTTGCTTAATGACTGATTATTTAATATATTAACTGTATATATATTCATTATATGGAGGCCTTGGAGTGTTTTGTTAGCGGAACAGTTTGAGAAAACGATGGAAGGTGTATGAAGGCAAACCTCCCTTTAAATGCGACTTTATACCTTTGGTTCCTTTCTTTGGAAAGAAAGAATCCTTTGTAATAAATTACTCTAATGGACACTTACTCTTTCTGAATTTACTTTTTGTACAATTTCCACAATAAATATTTTTTTGCTACCTTAGACTTTGCCTAATATATCCACAGCGTTAGACAGAGTCCACCAAGTTCCACCTCCGAGGTTCTGCAGAAACTCAGAACAGAAAATCCAAACTATGATGCAGGAGAGCCTTTCGCAGTTAAAATGGCCACGGTAGGTTCTTCTACAGGTTCAGAAGGGAAGGGTGAGGCGAGGGTTGTTCGACTGGTTGAAACCTCACCGCTAGATGCCACTAAATCCTACACACTGAGTCCCTAACAGGATTAGAAACATTGCACAAGAGAGTGTGGGTTTTGAGTAGCATCAGTCAAATACTTGAGAGTTTCTCACACTATACACTTTGCCTCCTCCACTGTGGGACATTGTACACTGACAAAGAGGTACTGTTGAGCAAATAACATAGTTTGTTGATTTCTAAAGTGGAAGACAAATGTCTGCTTATTCCAGTTTTCTTTTGAATTCTAAATTTGTGGCTCACAGAAAATCTCTTTGCACAGATTCTGCTCATAACCAGCATTCATTCTACACAGGTCCATGAGGACCGCTGCACACTCAGGCAGATGACGACACTTTGGCTACGCAGACCAAAGTACCAACTGGCCCATGCTCTCCTGTGCTGAATCCACAACTAAAAGAAAAGCAGTAGGCATGCCAATCTGTTTAAGCATGTTTGTTGTTGCAGAGAAAAGAAAAGTAAAATGTGTGCACACATGCAATCAAAGCTTGACTTTTGTAACTTGGTCTCACTTGGTGAAGTTGAAATCCACTTTCAGCTTATCTACACATTTCTCGTCCATGCCACAGTTGATCTCAAACCCAATCTGTAAAGGACAATGTCAAGTTAAATGTGTTTGTTCAGAAAGTATAAATGAAATTACATTGAAACATTGTTTGGGTTTTATGATGATTCATGGAGATGTCATAGCATGTGCAACGTTTGATCACGTGTCAGCCATAAAATGAATTCACACAGACAAGGTTTTGCTGTTCAGGTCATAAGATCTCTTTGAAAGTCACTTACAGGATGAAAGGTTGTTGTCTGAGCCTGCTGAGCAAGACTTGGTCTGAGATTTTCAGAAGAGGGCAAACCATCAAATGTGAATCTGACCTCATTGGAAAGTTCGTTGAGGGCATCTTCTGGGCACGCCTGCAAGGAGGGGGCATTATTATTCAAAAGCATTTGTTAAAGGTCGAGGGTGTTGGTTTGGATTCAATGTGAGAGGACTCTTAAAAGCAAAATGGGAGCCTTTATTAGCTGTATTAAGTCTTCCTGATGTTACTGGGTTTTTACCTCAATGAAGAATTTCACAGTGGAGCACGTTTGCCCACGTAAGTCAGCGGTCACGGTTCTGGTTTCCTCTCGTTGTTTGCCGCTGATGTACGCTCGGTTGTTTGGCGGCTTGCGATTGGCATCCAGCGTAAAAGTAAAATTAATATTTGCCCGAGCTGGAACAGATTAGAGCTTCATTAAAATGTTACAGATGTACTTTGAATTTAAATGGAAGAAAAGGTGAGGAGAATAAGGAACCTGTGTCTACTGCAGAGAATCTGGTCATGGTGAAGCAGATTTTAGCTAAACCATCCAGGGGGGTTGAGCAATTTTGGTTCTGAGTAGGGATCAGGGTTGGGCTGAATGACACTGCAGTTTCTACCAGTACTATTGGCCTTGATCTGGAAAAGGACGTAGCAGGAAAATACATGTGAGCAACCATTGGGTTTGGGGTGAACAATCCAACAGAATGACAAACTGACGAGTGTTTCTGGCTCCCTCACAGCATCCATAAAGACCACCACTAACTTCACACTTGTCTGAACTTTCCTTTGGTCGACACACATTGCAGAGCTTTTTTTTTCTTTTTTTTAAACATATGGTTCTATGTATGTAGAGCACAAATGAACAAAAATGTCAGACTTGATAATACATCTCATCATATCTTACCTGAGTAAGACAACAGTGCCCTTTGAACCCACCGCTAAATCAGGCAACCTGTCACCACTCCGGTCGAAAGACATCTGACTGATCGACATGCCAAAGAACCTCAGTCCGGACTGGACTTCAGAGGCAGCTATTCTCTGTGTAAATGCAAATACAATGTTTTAATGAGTACATCTGCAATTTGCATAGCTCCGAACACAGTGGAAAAACCCGAGACCTCACGTAGTTGATGGTGTTCAGTCTTGTCTGTGAGTTCTTTAAAACTGTTCACCTGTGAAAAAGCAGAACTGATTCTTCCTCCTCCTTCGCCGTGGAATATGTAGATGCTGCCTTGACCGTCGTTCTCCAAAGGTGCTCCGACTGCCAGTTCACTGAGTCCATCTGTGTTCAGATCAGGCAGCACAGCGAGGGAAGACCCAAACCTTGCTTTGTCAGATTCATCTCCTCTTAGTACTAATGGATCATCAAAATGGCACCCGACACTCTGGTGAAGATACAAGGATGAGAGTGAATGCTTCAGGCTCGTTGAAAAGTACAATAAATACACAGATACAGTAGATGAATTTAATGGCTCTAGAAATTACTGTCATTTACCAAACCAGTTATTGTGCAAACGTAAACTCTTCCCTCTCTGTCGGGTTCCTTGTACATTGGAGCAGATATGAGGATGAGGTCAGCGTTGCCGTCTGAATTCAGATCCATGGCGCAAACCTCAGCCCCAAAATATTCACCAGTCTGATGCTGTGTAAGCAACAAATCAGCAACGAAAAGATAAAGATAAACAACCAGTCAAACAATTGCAAAGTGCTCTATGTTGTCAATCAGGACCATCGGTCTCTGTTGTAAGCACGTACCTGCCATGGATAGGGGTCAATCACTTGGCTAGTTCTTTCTCTGTAAGCAGCTATCGCAATTCCTCTGTGTTCGTATCTCGGAGCTCCAACAACTGTCAGGAGGCCTTCCCTAGTTTGAGCAGCTGCTATGGAGTAACCTACAGTTTAACAGTCAGGTAGTCAAGGCAAGAAGAGAAATAAGGTTAAAATATACAAACGTTAAGCCAAAGTCGACATGAAGTGAGGATTGTTTGTTATTTAACGAAATAAAATCATCATTACCTCTGCAGGGACCAACCAAATGTTCCTTACAGACCCCTTCTAATTCTACATATTATCTTCTTGTTTTCATGTCGTTACATTGTCCCTCCCAGAACACATGTATAAAACCACTGCAGTTTCTAAGTCTAAATTATAAGAAGCATATCGACATATAACAGACGTTTTTAGAAAGGGAAGTGGATTATTTCACCATTACAAAATACAGACTTTAGTGGTGTTTCATGTGTGACATAAAACACACAAACAAGATATTTGCATATTCCCCTTCAATCCTGGGCTTCCTGTTCTGCTTTCCAAACTGATCAGTGTGTTAAAAAACAAAAACAACTGGGACGAAGGATTGCAGTAGAGCTGTGCACATACCAGGTGCCCTGAGATGACTTCTGTTATGAATGGGTGCAACATAAATTGAATTGAATTGAGTTAATTAATTGAATTGAACTAAATTGAACTGAACTGAATGGAATTGGGCTACAAGGTGGCTCAGTGGTTAGCATCATTGCCTCGCAGCTAGAAGGTCGTCAGTTTGCGTCCCAGTGAGGACACCCGGGATCTTTCTGCGTGGAGTTTGCATGTTCTCCCCGTGCAGCGTGGGTTCTCTCTGGGTTCTCCGGCTTCCTCCCACACAGTCCAAAAACATGTTGAGGTTAATTGGTGATTCTAAATTGTCTGTAGGTGTGAATGTGAGTGTGCTTGGTTGTCTGTCTCTAAGTGTAGCCCTGTGATAGACTGGTGACCTGTCCAGGGTGTCCCCTGCCTTCACCCTGAGTCAGCTGGGATAGACTCCAGCCCCCCATGACCCTAGTGAGGATTAAGTGGTGTATAGATGATGGATGGATGAATTGAATTGAACTGAATTTACCTGAATTAAACAAACTGAATTAAATGAATTGAACTAAACTGAATTAAATATACATAATCTCACATGTAAATGCTAGGTTGTTATTGTTATGATGTTCTTACCAAGATAACTGTCCGTCTTCATAGACGTAGGCTCGTATGAGTTCACTTTGGTGCCTGTCCTTGTGTATTGCATGTAGCCTCCCCTCCACTCGTTCGCACCAACAATAGCCATCTGAATTCCCTGTGAAGGGTTCAGAAATGCAAAAACTAGTTGGTGTAAAACACCAGGCAAAAAACAAATTCACATTTGAGTGTGTGACTGTGAGTCTGTTTTCTACGACTATAATACTGTACACAGTCCACTGAATTTCCAGAAATATTTGTTACCCCTGGCACATAAGTTGCACTGAATCCCTCTTGAGACATTTCCATTTTCAGTGATTCACCACTGGTTTGAGATCCTGTAACAGCAAAGTAAATAAGCATTTAGAGGGAGAAGCTGTGAAACAATCACAATTTGCAAATTCATGCTTGGACTGTAGATTTGAAATCCTCAAACTAATATTTGCTGTTTGTTTAATTAGTGTTCAGCTTGAAGTGAAATTTTCTAATAAACAAGCTAAAATTATTGTTATTTTTTAAATTTTTGAAACTGGAACATTTACAGGAATTTCAACAACCATGAATTTTAATCTGTACCTTCGATAGAGAAGATGCTGTCCTGCAAAGTCTGCCTTATTATTTCAAGTGCGTTAAAGTTTTCCACTTGAAACACATGTTTTGTTGAGGGAGAAGACGCAATGGTGTCCAGTTCCCTTCTTGCTCCTGTGACTTGAAATGCATTCCCCACCTAAAGTTGTTGAAAAAAGCATGTTGTTAAGAGTTTTTAAACCTAACATTGTAGCCACATGTATTAAAATACTGAGTTCATTTTCAATAACTACTCACAAACAGATTTTCAGTGCTCAAACTAACATGCAATGTAATGAAAGGGTTTTTACACATCATCTTTTGTAGTAGAAAACAGTCTTGCATTTGAATTGTGATTCTGAAAAAAGAACTTAGAGATTCGACCTTCAAAAAGCACCATGTGACCCTGCAGTCTCAAAACTGGCAGAAATATAAAGTCAATATAAAATTTAACATCCTACAAGTTGGATTTAACCACGCTACTCACCCCAATCGCAAATCGAACAATCTTCTTACTTTCGGCTGAAGCTGCAGCATTTTGCAATTGGCCCCGGTCGTTAGATGCTCCGTCTGTGATGACTATCAAGATCTTCTTCACATTCTGTCTTGAACCTCTTTGTGGTACAAAAACGTTGTTGCTGTCAAATGAAAAATTCTAATTAAAATACACCTTTCTTTTTGTTTTACAGCGTATTTTGTTGTCTTATAAGGTTAGTTGCATGGTTGAAGTTCAGAATGCCTTATGTTTTCATAGTGTTATTGATCAACATCACAGAGAATTTTGTACTTTGCTGAATGTCTGCAGCTTGTGTTTCAGGACATAGAGTCCACATCCACATGATGATGACCATGTGAGTGATTTAGCTCGTTAGTAATATCATGGCAGCACTTACACGACATATTGGATGGCCTTTGCTGTGAAAGTTGATCCCCCTAGTTGATATATTCCATCAATGTTTTGCTCCCATTGTCCATTCGAGAAAAAATTGTTAAAATAATAATGAATGTCGGGTGAGCTGGAGAACTGGGAAATGGAAAACTGAAAGAAAGAGATGAAAAGGTATAAAACATTTAGCAAATTTGCTTTTGTTTTTTCGAGGTAAAATACGTTCAAACTGTGGAGTTTATTTTTATGCCTGTGCTGTAATTTCGCTGCTAATGGAACCACAGTCTCTCACCTGTGTGTCGCTTGACAGAAATGACCGGACCAGATTTTTCACAAAGGTCTTCATTGTTTGAAAATCTTCTGCATCAACGCTGCCTGAACCATCCAACAGGAAGGCAATGTCTGCTACTGTTCTGCACTCTGTCAAAGCAATGAGTCAGAGATTAGATTTATCAGTTATTACCACAGCATGTAACCAAAGGCTTTTTAAAACTTTTGACTAGAATACTGCATATTTAGACAAGGACGATGAGCGTACCTGCATTTTCTGGGTTACTACAACAATAAGCTCTGCTTACCGACTGTAACTGTCAATACATTTGAAGCTAAGTTCTTAAAGCTTGAACATAAAGAGCAGCAGATTAGGAAATTTTTGTCGAGGCTTTAATGCCAAATACTTTAAAATACAATTATTCACTCAGGAAGCCAACAGTTCTCAGTATTCTGCAAGATTTCAGCCTTTTTCTGTGAAATGTTGTGTTTTTCTGTCACTTTCTGCTTAAAGTTGAGCCTAATGTTGGAAATATTGTTGAAAACAGGTTTCAAATACGAGAGTACCGTACAGGATGGGCTCAAGACAAAGACAGCATGCAACAATGTTGGTGTCAGAGTTCGTTTTGCTGTTGTCAGATGTCTAAATTCATTCAGTTTCACTCATTCATTTTTTATTTTTTAAATTTAAGGATAAATTGCTGTTATTGTTATTCCTTTCTGTAGGCTATGAGTAATCACATGAGACAGATTTTTTTTTTAAATGTGTTGCGCTGTTAGTGTCATGACCTGAGAGGAAGTAAAATACTGATTATATATGAGATACGTGTGTGTGAGTGTGTGTGTGTAATGACATGAGGATTTTTTATTTTTTTTTACAAACACCACATACAGTTACCTTGAAGAGAAGAAGGCATAGGTTGTCCAATTGTATTAGACCTATCGATCTCAAAGCAGACACCGTTGTACATGGTGATACTTCTGCAGTCCTTAGGAATGGTTGGGCCACATGCCTGAAAACAAACAAGGTTAAGTTCTGAATAAGAGATTCATTATTTTTCTGTCCCTTTAAGATTTTCAAAAAAGGCTTTTATGGATGCAAACAGGAAAAGAGATTTGGACTCTGCACTCATATTAACACTGTTCACCGACTCACCATAGTGTTTTGCGTCTTCGGATCACTTGTCATTGTCAAACCAAGGGACATATTGACTGCATAATCTGGCACTGCAACTAAAGCATTGAACTTGTTAAAACATTCATTAAGACTCTTTATGACAGCAACAGAACAGTGACAACAACAAGCCACCAGAAGTAAAACACTTTCCAGTGTTAGCAGCGGGGTCTCATTCAGACCATAGACTGTATAAAAGATGGACGTAGCAACCGGCCCTAAAAAATGAAGCCAACCTGGAAGTGTCAAAAACCTGCAAGATCACTGCGTCCGCTAGTCCTGGCTCCAAAAAGCCCTGGCTCCCATAGACTTGAATTGGAAAAGAAGTGATCACAGATACAGCATTCCTACAGCTCAGGATTTTTTAAAAATTAGTTTTCATGGTCAAGTCCAGAGATCAGGTGGCCAATCTGAAAATAAATCAATACTGAATTTTTAAAAAATCCTCAAAATTTTTCGGGGCAAGGGGCGTGGCTGGCTTGATTGACAGCGACCATACAGATGAAGCGAGCAGAAGGTGGCAAATGTGGGCGGGCAGAGAGGGCCTGCCTCTCAATCCGTCTGACCAATCACTGCTCCTATGGCTCCGCCCCCCTCCAACGATTTTTGCGTCACTGGCTCCAAACATCCAAGATGTCAACCAGGAAGTAGCAAAACCCTGGCTTCATTTTCTCAGTGCCAACGGGTGACGTCACGGAAGCTACGTCCATCTTTAGTACAGTCTATTATTCAGACTCACCGTGATCTAAATGTCCCGACTACTTTAAACATGATTGAAAGCAAAGCACAATGCAGCACTCAGGCCTTTAAAATATGAGACGCTTCAGCAGGAACAAATGCAAATCTCATTTAACAGCAATTCAGTCTGAATCTTGAGTGATAATACCAGTATTTTTCAGAAATATGTGATTTTTGTATCTATCATGTGAGCCTTACAAGGTCCCAAGATTTGTTAAGAAACTCTTTGGTGGAAAAACATCTTTAATTATTTTTACTGCTTTAGTCCATCATGTGAAGATATTCAGAAATGAACGGTTTCCTACCTTTAATATTTTGGCAGTTGTCGTTGGTGCACCTATATATTTCGCCCCTTCCATTTTCTGAATACTGTGCAAGTGGGGCACTCACAAGCAAACTAAGGAAGTATAACCAGAAAAAAAACACATCAGACTGCCCATCTGGTGAACACTGAGCAGTTCAATAAACCACATATTTTCCTATTAAGAAGCCTTCTCATGTCCTCCTCATTTAACACAGATACAAACTGGGGGGGTTTGTCTTAAGTGGCAGATACATGGCAGTTGTAAAACCACATTCAACACAGCAATGCTCACTCTGACTTACTCCGATTGTCTTTGCACCACCTGGTAGCCAAAACCTGCAGCACGGTTGCTCAAGGACTTCCAAGCCACAGGGTCAATGTTGAAACAACGAGCAGGTTGTAACACTGAGGAATGAAGAAGATCTGGTCTAGTTTAAAGTCACTTTATGCTGAATGCTACTGTGGTTTTAGCAACTTTGTTATACCCACCAGTTTCTTTCAGCCTCTATGTTACTTTCACTATATTTCTAAAGTGGAGCAGTGTGAACTGTGGTCTGCCACAGTGTTTTTTGCAAGCACCACCAGGGAGCACCAAAGTCAGAAATGTTCAAAGCGATTGAAAATACACATTGTCAAAATTCAGTTCTGCATTCAGTCTTTTTGTGGACCTTTGCTTGTTATTCTCACATGTCCTGGATTTGGGAAAGTACGAAAGAAAAGATACTTTTTGTTTGTTTGTTTGTTTTTTTACAGCAGCAGGTAAGACTTTTTTCTTCTGTGTAATCATTTTGTATCATTTTTCTGTACAAGAATTTCCTTCAGCACAAATACACTTTTCTCTCATCTTATTTCCTGACACTGACTGACATTGCATGTGTATTTAACCGGGTGTTATTTTCTGACACCTTGGTTTCCTGTATATTCCACTAAGTGAAGTGGTGCTATATGATAAGTTAGCTGATAAAATAAATTATATAAAATAAAAATGCATTTCAATGCTTCATCACCATTAGATACCTGCAGGTTTTGCCTTTGTGTAGTTTTACTTCAGTCACTGTGGCTTCTACAGCAGTTACAGAAAACACTCCTACAGATGTACCTCCAATTATTTAATTTGTGTCGTACATTTCTGATGTGGACTGATACAGTCTTGAATGTACAATGTACAAAAATTACTATTATTATTGATATTGTGGTTACAGTTATTCATCGATTAGCCCTGTTTTGTTTTTTAGTTCCATAATTAACAAATCAAGCTTTAAGCATATAAAAAGAACAGCTTCCAGAAAATGTAATTAGGGTCATATTTTCAATGCAAGGCAAAGTCGAAGGCACAAACTCACTGTCTTACCTGACAAGATCAGTGCGACAGTAGTCGTCCAGTCCATTGTGTTACTCCTATGACTGACAGCACAATGAACCCTCTAAGTTCAAACAAATGCATTGAGAAACTGTGGGAGGTAACTAAACTACTCGGTGCTGCTGCAAGAGTCAAAAGGGAAGATGTTGACAGCAGAATGCAGAAATGATTAGATCACTTCTCAATGCCAAGACTGTCGGTTAGAGGAGGGATTAAAACACAAACGTTGCCTGTTTTAATTGACACACTGCGTGTTGTCACTTGATTGTACAAAGCATTGATATTGTTTAATTTTGATCGAGTGCTTTAAGAAACTTAAAAAACACAAGTGGGACATTTGTTATTTAATAAGCAGAAGTACACAATGTCAAAGTTAATTTCAGGGAAGCCAAATGAGAGGGTATGAAAAGAAAAAAGACACAAGAAAAAAGAATTGAAACCTTATCTCTAACTTGAGATCTTGCTGGCAGGGGCGGAGCTAAATTCTCTGCTGAGTGAAAGGAAGCAGGTATAAGACAGTGATACACAGTATTTCCTGTAACAAAAAGCTCACTGAGAATACAAGATATAATATACATCTGAATTACTCACTGTCTCGATCAGCGAGACATTGCCAAAAGAAGCTTTCTTGTGAAAAAAAACTCCCACAAAAACCAAACAAGAATAGATAGGTTCATTTCTCCTTTTTCTTGACTTCCTCTACACTGACCCATCCTGTCTGTGAGTCAGAACATTTGATAACATGTTAGTTTTCTATGTGGCACATAATACACCTAGAACAGCACTGGATTGTGGTCACTTCATGTCTACTGCTGGGTGAAATAACACTGGATATGTTCTGCCCAGGATTATTTTCTGTATTATGTTGCCATGAGTCAAAAGAAACACAGAGAGGAGCGCTTCAGCTGATTGGATATTTATCTTGTATAATTGCACCGTGAACACTAGGAGTGGTTTGCTTTAAAAGAAAAAAAAAAAACATTTTCCCCACTGGTCTTTAGAAAATAAATAAATAAAAAAATCATATACTGTAGTTTGTACTGTACTGTTGTAAACAGAAGTTTTTTCAACATTGATGGTCAATGTAATTTGGCTTTTTAAAAAAAAATAAAAAATTTACAAAAAAGACTCTAACATCAAAGTGAAAACCGATTTCTACAAAGCAATATCAATTAATTAAAAATCTAAAAAGTAAAATAACTGAGCCTGTGTGGGTAGCTCTCAATCAGCCTTGTGCATCGTAACACTGCAACTTGAACTCATTCTTCTTTGCTAAACTGCTCAGACTCTGTCAGGTTGCGCAAGAATTGTGAGTGAACAACCCTTTTCAAGTCCAGCCCCAAATTCTCAATTGAACTGAGGTCTGGGTTCTGACTCAGCCACTTAGGACATTCACCTTGTTGTCTTTAAACCATTTTGATGCTGAGAAACATCCCCACATTATGATGCTTCCACCACCATGCTTCACAGTGGGAATGGTGTGTTAATGATTAGCAGTGTTCACCAAACATAGCCTCTCATCTGATGGCCAAAAAGCTCAACTATCCTTTTTTTTTTTTGACTAGACCAAAAAAAAAAAAAAAACCCTTTGTCTAGTTGACTTCAAAGTCCCCCATTTGCTTTCTGGTGAACTCTAGCTGACATTCTACATGAGCCTCTTTCAACGGTGTCTTTCACTTTGCCTCTCTCTCACAAAGCTTTGACTGGTGAAGAAGAGGCAGCAGTTGTTGTATGAACAGTCTCTCCCATCTCAGCTGCTGAAGCTTGTAACTTCCTCAGAGGGGTCATAGGCTGTCTTGCCTCCCTCACCAGTCTCTTTCTTGCATGACCTCTCGGTTTGTGAGGACGGCCTGCTCTCGGCAAAACTGTGCATGTGCCATACTCCTTCCATCCTTCTATTCTTAATGATAGATTTAACTGCACTCCAAGGGCTATTCATCGACTTGAACATTTTTATTTATTCGCCCCCTTACTTATACTTCTCAAAAACCTTCTCACAGAGTTGCTTAGAGTGTTCTTCTGTCTTCACGGTGTTGTTATAACCAGCAGTACTGTATAACTAGTGACTGAACCTTCCAGATGCAGGCGTCTTTATGCTACAATCATTTGAGACACATTCACCGCACTCAGTGACTTATTTTTCTATTTAACTGTTTTCACTTTTTTTATTGTTGTTTTTTTTTCTAAATTTGTATTTAAAAAGGTCAAATTAAATTAATCAAGAGTTAATGTTAAAAAGCTGTAAGAGAGGAAAACTGCCAGTAGTTTTTATAGGCACACACACACACACACACACACACACACACATATATGTATAAACATATGTCTGTGTATTTCTGAACCCTGTCTGGCTCGTAGATGATAAACCAAGCCGCTCTGCTGGTCTTGTGTCCTTGTTACATCTTTGCGCGTTGACTCATTCAACCCACAGCCTCTGCGCAGGAAGTGAACCCCTTTTGTTCTACGACTCAGTAATGATAAAGTGCTCTTTTTGTCAGTTCCCCCCGCCGACACTCTGAGTGCAAAATTTGACATCCGTCCTTTCTATCTGAGCGAGAGAAATTTAAACAGACCCAAAGTGTTATACAACTTGACTACGTGCACGTGTAACCTTTGCGAAGCTTGCTGGTTGAACCCATCCTGCAGAGCGCAGATGATCAGGAAAGGTCATGAAAAGGTCAAGGATCAGTGCAGTGTGTTACTGTGTCTGGCTTGGATTTCTAAGGGCAGGTTAGCAATGTTGTCACATGCTCTCCAAGTCCCTGTGTGAGTGTGTGCTATTAGCGCATACTACACATAAACCAAAGTTCTGCCTCCACATACCCTTTAAAATGACCTCTGGGTGATGAGATGCTCTTCTTGGGGGAGACAGAATTTTTTACACTAAACTAAAGCTAAACTGAGCTACAACTAGTGTACACTTTTAGTTACAACGTGCGGTCATAAAAGGGTGTGCAGGGTACGGGGATGTACATAGCAAATAAAGTTTGGTAAAAGAGGATGTTTGGACATCAAAGGGAAGTTACTTAATGTTTGTTATTGGTAATTACACATTTGTTCTTAGCATAACTACTAATTGATTTGCACTGTTTCCTATGCAACAGTTGTGCTGTTACTTCCCCTCAATTGACTGTACCTCGCTCTGTTACATTTTCTGCCATTCACTGAAACACTCTTTGCCCTTTCACTGGCTTCTCTCCAACATGTTCCTCCAGCCCCAGTCTTGCTGAATGTCACAAGCCATCTCTGGTTGCGTCCTGTTCTTTTTATAGCCGGGCAGCTGAAATGTGAGGGGTCACAATGGGAGGATAAATACAAGGGCCAGCAGGCTGCAGGGGTGTCGCAGACGAAGGCCGGATCTCCTCCTTCCCTCTCTCTTCTCTCAGCTCTCCTCTCAAACTCAAAGGTAAAAGAACAAAAATGTCATTGAGAAACATGAAATAACCCAGTTACTTTAATTTGATTTATTTACTACTTAACTTGCTAAATATTGTGTTCGTGTAAAGCATGAGACTGTTCCCACCTACTAGAGATAATCATGACGGTAGAGCAAGCATGCGGTTACTGGGTTTAGCTGAGGGTATATGAGACTCTCTACAGTCATATTTAACCCAGAGACTAATTTCTGAAGGTTAAATATAACTATGATTTAAGTCTTACTTAATGCAGTAAACCAAGCACAGTGTCAAAAACTGCTCCACTTGCATGCTGGTCCTGACACTGCACGACAATTCTTCCTCTGCGCTGAATATTTTGACATACACTAAACATTAAAATCCATGGCTAAGCAGTTTAGCTCATCTTCAGTGCGTCACATGTTGTTGCTACACCCTTGTCTAAGTGATGCAAAGTTTCCACGGACAGCATGCTCACCGGTGACTCATTAGTCTGACAAAGCTTCTATTTAAAACTGTCTAAATTTGTCCAAACTGTTGAAGGTTTGTACCTGCAAACAAAGAGCAGGCCGAGTGTCATGGCTTCTGAGCAGTGGGTTTTAAAGCTGTACAATTCACCTTTATGTAATGCCTCCTTGCTGAACTACGGTGCTTTCATTTCCTTGTGCAGTGAAGCAGCACACTGTATATATTTAGTCCAACCTATTGATAGTGGAGGCACAGGCAGGGTGGAGAGGGGGTGTGTGCAATAGGGAAGAGGAATGGTGAGGGAAGGGGGATGGAAAGGTCAGGGATAAGAGGTTAGAAAATGGAATAGGTCACGCACATGCTTGTCATGATTTTTCAAGGGTGGTCACACGCATGGAGGGTGGGGCGGATGAGGGTGACACTAGATCCCCTGTGCCACCATATATATATTGTGCCTGGGGACGAGTGTATAGCACCTGCACATAAGCTACTGCTAGTTATAGCGGCAACAACTGCAGTCACACAGTCGGGACGCCACCTGGTCTGATATTTCAACAGAGCACAGACAGACAGAAAACATGCGGCCCTGTGGTCACGCTTCACTTCCTTCACACTGTCAGCTAGATGTTCTGCCCTCCATTCCTCAAAACAGTTTCCCATACATATGCGAAGAACCACAACCTCAAATGCAGCTTTGCAATTCGACTGAACTATTGGCTTCCAGATTCTGTAAAGTGAAGCCCAGTGTCTTCACTGTTATCTCACGTCTTTTTCTTCCTCCTCTTCTTACGCAGAGTCAGGATGCCTCACTCATACCCTTTCCTCACTCCTGAGCAGAAGAAGGAGCTCAGTGATATTGCTCAGAGGATTGTTGCTACCGGCAAGGGAATCCTCGCCGCAGACGAGTCCACCGGTAAGCAATTAATCAGCTGAGGTTTTACAGTTCTGACGAGAAAGTGCAGAGCAGTGACTTAGTAAAGTATCTGCCACCAGTTTCTAACACCCACAACAGATCCGGCCTGTGATTAGGAAGTAACCTAAAAACTGCTATAAATCTGGTCTAACTGTAAATTTCTCAGAGCTGAACAAAGTTTTTGCGCAAATGTCTAAGAGTGCAGTCGACAATCTGCTGTGCCTTCATCTGTCTAATGTTTTCATAACTTCCAGGCAGTGTGGCCAAGCGCTTCCAGAGCATCAATGCTGAGAACACTGAGGAGAACAGGAGGCTGTACCGCCAGCTCCTCTTCACCGCTGACGACCGCGTCAACCCTTGCATCGGTGGCGTCATCCTCTTCCACGAGACCATGTACCAGAAGACCGACGATGGCAAGCCCTTCCCACAGTACCTCAAAGAAAGAGGCATGGTGGTGGGCATCAAGGTCGACAAAGGTGTTGTCCCCCTGGCCGGAACCAACGGCGAGACAACCACCCAGGGTGAGCACAGAAAAGATGTAGACACAAAGGGAGCATCAACATCTTTTTACCATCATGTCTCACTCACGTGTCCACTCCCTGTCAACAGGTCTTGATGGACTGTATGAGCGCTGCGCCCAGTACAAGAAGGATGGCGCTGACTTCGCCAAGTGGCGTTGCGTCCTGAAGATCACCCCAACCACCCCCTCTAAGCTGGCCATCCTGGAGAATGCCAATGTCCTGGCTCGCTACGCCAGCATCTGCCAGATGGTAAGACCCAACAGACAGATGCTGAAATGACAATAAAAGGAAGAAACTTTACCTATTATGCACCGTTCAGAGTTACAACCAGAACCAAAATCTAACATAAAAGAAGATTTAAAAGGAAGAGATTGCAAAAAGATGCTGAGTTTGCCTGCCTGAGATGTTAATATAGGGAGTTGCACAGCCAAGAGGATGGACAGCAAAACTCCAAACACCTCTAGTGACAAGACATGAATTAGACATGAATTAAAAAAAATATCTTAAAATCAAGTAGGCAGTGAAGGGCAGCAAGGATTGGTTTAATATATTCACTTGTCTTTGTACATGTGAAAAGGCCCGGCAGCAGAGTTTTATATCAGCTTTAGTCTTTGGATGTCACCAGAGTAAAGTGCTTTGTGCCAACAGCCAAGTCTGGAAGAGATAAAAGCATTGATGACCTTTCTCTCAGTATGCAGAAGAAAGGAGAGACCTTATCTTTGTCAACTATCTGGGCTGGGCAAAGCAGCACTGCACTGTGTTTGTCACCGGAGCATCAAAGGATAAATCAGAGTAAATAAAAAAGCACAGAGGTAGCATCTTACGAACAACATTAGAAAAGACAGTCGGACAGGTTTACACACACACACACACACACACACACACACACACACACACACACACACACACACACACACACATATATATATCGTTAGAAAAATGTGCCCTTTAAATAACCCGTGTGGCTACTATGATTTCTTCAATTTATAATTTAATGTCAGTTGAAATACAGATCAGATCTCATCTACAGATTTGCCAGTGCTTCTTTTACTTCAATTTACTGTCACAACAAAACAGCAGCCTCACTGCAGCAGGACATGCATTTGATGCTATCATGCTACGTGCTTCTTTCATCTGTTAGTGGGTGAAACTAATATGCATGCTGTTTATAGTTTATATAACCACAAAATAGGCCACCCAATAATGCTGCTGCAAGGAAATGGGTTTTTGTAATGTTAGAAGAGGAGGTACTAGAGTGGAGAAGAATTATAATGTTTAGAAATGACAAACCAATTATTCCTTTATCCACACCACTGAAATCATAAAAAACTAAGACCTAACATACACTGTATGTTCCAGCAGTCATTCTTACTTCTTGTTGTATTGCTAACACAGTCCTTTTGTCTGCTTTTGCCCAAAGCACGGCATCGTCCCCATCGTGGAGCCTGAGATTCTCCCCGATGGTGACCACGACCTGAAGCGCTGTCAGTACATCACTGAGAAGGTCCTGGCTGCCGTCTACAAGGCCCTGTCCGACCACCACGTCTACCTGGAGGGCACCCTGCTCAAGCCCAACATGGTTACCGCCGGACACTCCTGCTCGCACAAGTACAGCAACCAGGAGATCGCCATGGCAACTGTTACCGCCCTGCGCCGCACCGTGCCCCCTGCAGTCCCTGGTAAACAGGACGCATGTAGAGCTTGTCAACACATTTGCAAACGTTGCAGACACAAACTTTTGCAAATCCTTGCTTTTGTCCGTAGACGCTGAATTCATGATTGAATATTTTGCAAGCGCTTAAATTGGATGTTTAGAGAAGTGGGCATTGCCAAACTGTCATGCTCTTCCTGTGCAGGCATTACCTTCCTGTCTGGTGGACAGAGCGAGGAGGAGGCCTCCATCAACCTGAACGCCATGAACCAGTGCCCTCTGCACAGGCCCTGGGCCCTGACCTTCTCATACGGCCGTGCCCTGCAGGCCTCTGCCCTCAAAGCCTGGGGTGGCAAGAAGGAGAATGGAAAGGCATGCCAAGATGAGTTCATCAAGAGAGCTTTGGTACGTGTGACTATTAATACAAACACTGCTTTAAGAAGTTCTCCAAATGACAGTCATGTGAGAGAACTGCTTGTATTGGTAGCATCAAAATGATGTATTGTGCAATCAGTAATGCTGTCTTTTTCACTTCTTACAGGCTAACAGCCAGGCCTGCCAGGGCAAATATGTTTCCTCTGGAAGCAGCTCTGCTGGTGGAGAGTCTCTGTTTGTGGCTAATCATGCTTATTAAGCGTGGACACCCTTTCCACCTGCTTCCCTCCATCATTACATCACCATGGAAAAGGGCGTGTCCTGTATTGCACTGCCTATGAAATTCTCTCTTACCCACAGCAAGAGTATCAACAGCACTGTCACGACGTCTTGGTTGAAAGCAAAAGAGAAAGAAGGATAAAACTTTCCTTTGGGTTGTTGCTGCAGCTAGGAGATTCTGGAAGTTTTCTGCCTCCATTCCCTTACCTTTTATTTTTAAACACCTTTTTTTCAGGTGACGATTCCCTCACTGTTTTTACACAACTTGTACTATTTTCCTTGGTTTGATCCCACCAACTCCAGTATATGATTTATGCTGGCACCACGGAATAAAGTATTTACCCTAACATGCTGCTTTGCTTCCTTTTTGGTTTTACTTGGTGCTTTTACTTCTCATTGCGCAACATTATTTAAAGGTCACATGCAACCACTTGATTTCAGGTTCGAAGTATTTTCCATTAGAAAATTATGTTTGTGGGTGAAAATCATTTACAAACCTTAAAAATACACATAAGATGGTTTACAAACTGAAATAAAACAGCAGTCTGGTTTCACAGTCATTCTAATCATGGTAGTTCTAAGAGCTTCAGTCGAAAGCAGCTGGACTTCTCTTTTTGGTTCTTGAACACGTTTCACTTCCCATCCAAAGAGACTTCTTCAGATTCAAATGACAGACGAGGAGTCCCGTGTACACAGTGCCTAAAAGTGTTTATTTCCTTTTATTTACTCTTTTTCTTGTAGTGCGAGACATTTTTTGCATCCATCTCCTGACTTGTGCTTCTCAATAAGGCGTTTAACAGAGTTGCTTGGAGTTTTCTTTAGTCTTCATAATGTAGAGAGTACTGATAAACTAGTGACCTGACCTTCCAGATACAGGTGTCTTAATTCTGCAATCCTCTGAGACACATTCACTGCACTCAGGTGATCTCTGTTTTACTAGCTGTGTCACTTCTAGCACCTATTGGCTGCATTCAATGTCTCATTTGAGCAACTACTGAGTGACTCATACAACTTGTGAACCAGACCTAAAATGTCACATCTCATGACTTTGTGATTGGGTTTATTTTTCACCTCGCAAACTCATTTAAAAACAGTGTCAGCAGAAGAGGGTGGAGCTGCACTTTGCGTTCTTGTGAACTGTACACTCCATACCTAGGTGTCGATCTTTACCACACATCTATGTCAGAGTGTGCTGAGCCTTTGCTGGTAGCTCTTCATGGATTAAAGGTCTTTCATGCGGATTACTGACATTATTTAAAGCATCCAGTTTTATTTACTGAAGGATCCTGAGGTAAAGCCAGGCTTTACATTATAGGTCTTACGCAACAATTTTAACTCAGACGTGGGTTTCTTGTTCCTAATTTTTGCTTCCTTGTTTGTATCATTGTCCATGTATGTATAAAGACGAACCACATTGAAGTTAAAGACGTCAGCCAGATCACGTCAGTTTGCGTCACACCTCTGTGTATTTCCATGCAAGTATAATGGCAGCATTTTGCAACACGATTTTAAAATTGACAGCATGTGTTTCATCCGGGAAGAATGGATTAACACACAGACGGGGTTGGTAGAAACTTTATGGCTCACTGATGGATCATTTCCCTGGGAGTTGTCTTGACGTGCCCCGATGAACTTTCTCTGGTTGTTTGGCAATTAGACCAAGTGGCCAAACCACAGAACCAACACGAAGACACCCAGTCTGTGACCCCAAAACCATTTCCCATTCACTGGTAAAAGTGCAGCTGTACAATAGTGCATATAATACATGGTCCTTTTTTGACTCTACGGACTCTTTTTATTTGCACACAGCATATAAATAACAGAAAATCACAAGGACAGTGTCTCTTTTAACTTACAAAGAGTGAGCAGAATGCTACTTTTAAAACGCTCTTCAAGTAAGTGACATTTACAACTTTTGTTTATCTGAAGAATCTGCATGTTTCTTGCACACAATGGCAAGTAAGACAATCACTAGTAAATTAGGTCTATTAATGAATTTTAAACAAATCAGGATAATTCATTGTGACAAAACGATTTGTTGGTTGATTGATTATTTGTTGTTTGTATAATAAGTGCATATGTGCAATTATAAATAACTTTGCTTACCGAAATGATTATTTTCTGTGAAGATGGTTAAATAAGTTTGCATTAAGTGCAGTGCAAAAAAAAAAAAAAAGTAGAGCCAATGTTAAAATGAGGTTTCATCATACAAGCTCCTGTACAGTCACCATGGTGTTACTTTTAAGTGTAAGCCTTAAAAACTGTTTTAAAAGGCGAACGGAGCAGAACAGAAGAAGCACTACGGAGCTCAAACGTGATGCAGCAACATGGTCACTACGACGGCCATAAATGTAAGCTCAGTCGCCAGCGTGTTTAAACTTCCAGAGCCTGTGGTTCTGCACACAAAGCTGCTGTCCGGGTCAGTGCCACTAGTAGCGAATGTCACAAAGCTAACGTTCGCTCCTGCCACTTGATCTGTGATCCAAGACTGGAATTCAGACACTCGGGCGAAGACCTCTGGAAAACCAGCCCGGGCACAAGGTACTCCGAAACTGGCAAGACCGGCCTGGACCCACGAAGAGCCTTGTTTGCATTGCAAAGGTCCACCAGAGTCCCCCTTTTTAAAAAAAGCACGACAAATACAAAGAGCTAACTGATACAACCGGTAACATGCATAGAATAGTACATGTTATGTCAAATAAGAAAACACTCGATATTGCAAGCATTTGCATTCTAACCTGACATATTCCTTTGTTTTCTTGCCCGGCACAAATCATCTGATCAGTGATATTTGCATTTGGACTTTGCAAGTAATTGCAGGTGCACTGCTTGTTTCCAAAGATGGGAACCTGAACCTCCTGCAGTGCTGAGGAATCTGGCAGAGGCTCTGTGGATGAGAGAGAGTGAAGTCAAAGTGTTGTCATCCAGTTTCTGAAGTATTATTAACAAGGTAACACAAATGATGAAATAGAACTTGTGCTCATTTGACAGCTTGTTCGTCCACCGTTTCTGTTCCAGAACTGAATAGCTCAGCATCTAGACAGTATATTGTGACTAAACCATCCTCTACCTGCCTTTTTAGTTTGTTTTTTCTTGCGTCATATTTAGGTTGTAATCTGCTTCACTTAATACCACAATCTATTTCTAATGTAGTATTTCCTGTACCAAGAAACTAGCATGTGAAGTGTCCACCCCCTGAAAACTTTACCTACTTTTAAGGAGGAATTAATAATAGCTGACCTGAAACAGAGAAGCAATTCAAATGAAAGTTACAGAGAATGCTTATTCTGCCACCAGCACTAAAACCTTAGAGGAAACTCACGGTCCTTGGCCAGGTTTCCCCAGCCGGTGGCCCAGCAGAGCGTGGCGTTGAAGAACTGGCTGGTGTTACTTGCCAGGCAGATGGGTCTGATAAAGTTCGTGAAAGTGACGGGGCTGCTGAGCTTCATTAGGGCGATGTCGTTGTTCAAGAGTGAGTCATTGTAGTTGGGATGGACGATGACTTGGCTCACAGAGCGCGACACCTCGTTGGGATTAGGGCCAGCTTGAGTTTCTCTTCCAAAGTAGAGAGTCCATTGACTAACTGTGTTTCTGTAATTGTAAAAACATTCATGAGATCAATAGTTTGTGCAAACCCTTGTTTCGTACTCTAACGCCACATGTAGGAGGAGCTCCACTTCTCTGTTGGTCCAAACAAACGACCCTCATGCCATTATCCCTGAAGTAACAGGAAGTCATTTGTGCCATTCGTTTTTTTTTGTTTTTTCCAGGATTCTTATTGATTGGCATGGCTTTATGCTTCCCGTTACACTGCCGCCTATAGGTTTGGCATGCTCATAGCAGTTCTTAACGACGTGTTTATGTGGGTTTGTGTAAACGAAGATTTTTTTTGGATGATTGATTGGTGTGATCAATGTTTTTTTGGAAAACGTAGATACGTTTTTGTAAATACCCACCTATGTGTAGACGTGACCTAAAGCTGTCTTGTGTAACTTTAAAATGCAGAAGTGTGTGTAAAAGTGCACAGTTTCAATGGAGGAGGAACAAAAGCATATCAAGACGGCACTCAAAACCTGTGGCTACCCAGGCTGGCCTTTCATCAAAGCCTCTACAAAACCCACAGGCGATAGAGAAGAAAAGACCAAGAAACGAAACAACATAGTCATGCCCTATGTTGCAGGAGTTTCTGAGAAGCTCAGGAGGATTTTCAACAAACACAACATTCCAGTACACTTCAAGCCCACCAACACCCTGAGACAGAAGCTGGTTCGCCCTAATGACACGACACAGAGACACAAACAAAGCACCGTGGTCTACGCAGTCCAGTGCAGTGAGGAATGCCATGACCTGTACATCAGGGAGACTAAACAACTCCTCCACAAGCGCATGGCTCAGCACAGAAGAGCCACCTCCTCAGGACAGGACTCAGCAGTCCACCTGCATCTCAAGGACAAAGGACACTCATTCGAAGACAACAATGTACAGATTTTGGCCAGGGGGGACAGATGGTTTGAGAGAGGGGTGAAAGAAGCCATCTATGTCAAACTGGAAAGACCATCCCTCAACAGAGGTGGAGGTCATCACCTCTCACCTGTTTACAATTCAGTCCTAAGATCTCTCCCCAGGAAGATGAAACTACATTCACACCCAGCCACAAAAGACCCTAACGAACCCCTTTGTGATAGGGGGAGTACTAACAACCCACATAACAAGGGGGAGGAGTAACAACCCTCAACTGAAACCGAAACTCAGGCGTTAATGGCTCCTTTAAGATATGAGTATCTGGAACTCCCAACTAGTCAGTCAGAACTGATGAAGCCTCTTGGATGAGAGGTGAAACGTCTTCAAGGAACTCAAGCAAGTCCAGTTGCTACGATTAATCTACCAGAACAACCATGACCTGGATGACTGAGAATCTTCACAGACATCCTGTACAGTTTGAAGGTACTGGTTCAGGTGATTGAAAAGCACTGAGGGGGGTCTGTCCAGATGTGGCTGCTTAAGTGTGCAATGAAATTATTTTATTGGCAAAGTTTTCAGTAGCCTGCATGAAAGCTGCAGTTTTATCAGAAGTGGGCTGTGTGACAATTTCAGTTCCTCAAGTAAAAGAACAGCAGGGGTGGGCAGATAACCACAGTTACTGATTATACTACATTTATAAGCAGTGAGTTCCTGATTCGATTCCCAGTGAACTTGACTTTTACTGTATGTCAGTCCCCATATCTCTTTGCTCACATTTCCTGTCTGTCACTAGTGTGAATGTCTAATAAAGGCATCGATTCAACAATTAAAATTATTATTATTATTTTTTAATTAAAAACTGTTAATGCTTTAGTCTGACAGTTTTCCAGATACAGAATACAATATCCAGACTAAAAGCATGTATCAGGTGGATTTTTATTAATGTTGGTTCAGACGTAAATTGTTATGCGTCACAACTCGGTGCAAATTTTTGTAACAAACCCAGCAACTTTTATAAAAGCAAATTTGTGCATCTCATTTGTTCACATCAGCTTCCAGCTCTTGGTTTCAGTCAGATGTTGACACGTCAGTTAAGGAAGAGGTGTTAACCTCTAACTTCTGTGGAAACAGAAGCAGGAAGATGAGTTGTAGCTTAACAACTGCTAGATATCATTAAACCGCATCTACATTTTAGCAACTATCAGACTGTTTGGAAAAGTTTCTACCTCAGCAGTCTGATCAACACCTACCTGTATTTGGCCCTGGATCACTTACAGCCACTGTTATAGTGCAGAAGTGGTGCTATTTTAGTGCTTTTCTTTTGTGTGACAGCATGAGATGATAACAGAATATTCATTTATCTTGTACAGAGTTGTGACTTGTTTTCGTAGGGCGTGACATCTATCGGAAGAAATGGAGTATAAGTCCATAATTGTGTTTTCTTTGGTGTGGAATCAACTGAAAATGAGTCACTGGGTGTTTGTCATCTTAAAATGAGCCCAGAAAAGACAAACCAATCACTGGCTGTCGAGGGCGATTCACATTCTTTGCATATTTCCTGGCCTTTCCTGTTCCTCCTGCATGCTTTGAAGGGGAGGGTGAGGTCAAGATGGTGGGTTTTACCTCAACACACACTTGTTATCAGACCTTTTGTTCTCATTTATGATTTCAGACCAAAAAAGCAAAATAAATAAATAAATAAAATCATCTAGTATAATGAATGTTGGTGAAAAATGCACATAAAAGTCATCATTTAAACAATAACATGCATCTTTGCACTGATAAGTTGAACATTTTCAAGTTGAGCTCATTGCGAGTTAGTTCATACCAAACAGAATTTTGCAGCCTTATTTCAGATCTGTGTTGTGTTCTCTGTTTTTGTGTCAACGGCAAATGTAGAACACAGGAGACAAAAAAAAAAAAACAGCTGACGTCTTACGTTAGGATGCAGTGGGCTGCTGTGAGAACCCACTCGGCGCTGATGAGAGTCCCTCCGCAGATGTGAGACCCCAGCAGGTGTACGCTGACCTGCCAGGGCCACGAGCCGGCCGAGGCGTTCTCGCCACCCACCACTCTGGTGTTCAGAGGCGCCTCGCCACAGTCTGACAGGGGACACACGGCAGAGCACAGAGCAGTAAAGTTAGGCTCATTCATCTGCAAAACTAAAAGGTTTATTTTTCATAGTTGCTGAGCGTGTGCATCGTCGAGGGCATTTACTGTGAGGAACATAATGTGACTGCACTTACCCTGAGCGTTCAACCCTGTAGAGACAAGAGGTTAAAAAAAAAAAAAAAGTTAGTGGCAGCATCACCAGTGGAGCAGATTTATAAAACTACAGTCAGAAGGTGGCACCAGAGCTCCAGCAGCTTCCTTGTACAGTTCAAACAGATTCCTGTGTTTTGTTCAGTGTTCTAATTTTGTTTCATTACATAATTTTCTGCCTATCCCTGTCATGCATTGGTTTGGTACATTAGTGCAAAGCTTATAAAAGAATTGAAGAAAGTTTGATTTTATGCTGATCTTATTGGATTTTTCCTACATGCAAGTCATCAATAAATTCACTCCCTGTGTTCTAATATTACACTGTGATTTGTTTTGAGGCATAAAAGAGATAAGTCATTATACCAAGCAAGCACAGATTTTTTTTTTTTTTTTTTAAATCAGCTAAAGCAAAGTGTTATTAGGCAACGACTTGAAAATGAAACCCCACCAGTGGTTTATGAATTCATTAGTCATGCATAATTACCTCAGATGTAAAACATTTTAGTGAATATGAAACAGCTCTGGATTAATTATGCCTGTATTCACAGCAGAGGTATTTCAATGTCCTCTACTTCAACTACATCCTCTACTTAATGTCCTCTATTCAAAATAAATAAATAAATAACAGGTTAATTAAGACCATCATTATCTCAAAACTAGTCATAAAGTCTAATCAGAACCTTGACAAAAATTAAAAATCTGCTAAAATAAAAAAATTATAGATTTGGGAAAATTTGCAGATTTAACACAATAAAATCGAGCTTACAGGTCAGCATGAGAATAATAAATGTGGTAAACTGGGGTAAAAGCTCACCTCGCGCCATCAGGACTGCAAACAGCAGCAGTAACCATGCTGTCCCGGCTGCCATACTCTACGCTCACTAACTTTATGACTTCAGGCAGACAGCGTTCTAATAAAGCTTTTTTTGGTTTTGTTTTCTCGTTACGTTGCAGACAGTCATGTGTACAATGCAGTGGACACTCCCTGCTCAAACCTGTTTCTCTCCATACCAGTATGACTAAATCTGTTCATGAAAGCTTCCATAAAAAAAACACTCAGAGCAGTTAATTGTTTGCGTGGAGTCATATAGATATATATATAGCACCTTGTTTCCGAACATATTATGGGCTTTCTGTTCTTTGTTGCATGTAGCCGCTGTAGAAAACGAATTTCACATTCGCTTTTCACGTTGGAAACATGGTTATGGAACACGTTCATGGTGTATATGTGTGAAACCTGTGTGTATTCCCATGTGAAACCCATTATACATGGAAAACAAACTTTATTATCATTGCATCAGATACAACCAAACGCTTTTTTTTTTTTTCATTATTGCACAAGTCAGAGGTCAGAGGGTCACACTACAGCACTCCTGGAGCACATGCAGTTCAGCTTGGTGGTGCTCAGGTTTGAACTTCTGATCAGTAACTCACAGCCTTAACCACAAAATCACACAGCACCTGCAGGCCGCTGCAGGACAGAGGAAGGTGCTTTATGGGAAAGTGGAGATGAGTGGATGCAAGCTTCTATGGGCTCGTTGTATTAGCTGTAATTCTGATTGTAGTCCCATGGGCTCCACATGTAGTTCTATGGTTTCCACACTGGTATGTGTGTGGGTTCCACATGGTTAAATGCAAGCCTCACCCCTCCTTCAGTTGAGTTTCCCTCTCCTGCCTTTGAGCTGTTGCACAAAGAGAAACCATCCACACATTACTGCACTTGTTTAGTGTTTTTATGAAACGTAGAAAATGTGCAGTGTTTGTGACATGGTACCACATACAGGTGGAAAAAAAATCTCACGTGTGCAGCACATGAGATGTTAAGATGATTACATTATTCTTTTTTTTTTTTTTTTACCAGACTGCACTGGAGATTTGATCACAGATGTGTATCTGTATTTATATCTCTGCTCTGAACAATGAGGTTCAGTGATGTTTGATTTAGTTCCTGGAAAGTCTGATGTTTTCCTTTCAGCATAATATAAAAGTGGAAAATCACTATTGATCCCTGAATCAAATGCCAGTTGGGGAACATCTTCTGATCTATGCTGTTCTTCTCACACTGTGACAAACACTCATCAAGCTGCTATTCATCACATACTGTATTTATTCATGTGCAACATCTGTCAGTAGTGTTACTTACCATTGTGCAATAACATGTTTCTTATTACTTATTTTAAATGGTGCAATATTACAGCTGAACCTCTACAATCCATTCATTTTACTGATAGTGCCACATTTATGCAGTCAACATCATATTTAGTTTTATACTGTATATATAAATTAGATTTTTAAATTCATCTTACTGTTGAATTGTTAAACATCCCCTGGTTTTGTGTTTTAACATTTGCATTTTCCATGTGTCATTTGTTCATATGCTGTATTTGCCTGTGTAGCTTCTCAGTTATCCGGGTCACGGTAATCGTAGCAGCTTCAGTAGAAATTAAGCTGGACTTCTCTAGTCATCTCTAATCAGAGGAGGGGTTCTACGACGCCACGTATCAAGCACCTACAATGCAGGTGATATGGTCTCTCCCCAGGAAGTTTCACCCTCATCAGCATCTTGAGCCACCAGTGACATGGCAGATTCATATCCGCTGTAAAGTGGCAGCTCCTCCACCACGGACCACCTGGTTTCACAGCAATTCACACCTGGCGGCATGTGAGTCCTGGTTGTTTCTGGGCCGTTAGCCAGGTGAGCAGGAGTGACTATGAATTCGGTAACTGCCCATTAGTCAGTTAGGACTGAAGAATGCCTCTTGAATGAAGGTGAAACTTCTTCAAGAACCTACAAGAAAAGCCCAGTTGATTTCTACTGAAACTCCTATGATTACTGTATTCACTGACTTCTCTGCACTCTCCCTTTGCAAATAAAGGCAAAAATGTATGAGAACGCACATTAAATGTTAATCTGAAACTAAAACGTAAAGAGCACCATAGCTGAAACGAGCACAGTGAAACATTCAAAACAGGATAAGCATATAGTTTTAGAGTATTTAGTTACTTTAATGTGACTATCTGCATTATTTATCCATCCATTATTTACACACCGCTTGATCCTCACCAGTCTATCTCAGGGCTACATATAGAGACAACCAAGCACACTCACATTCACACCTACGGACAATTTAGAATCACCAACTCATTTGGTTTCATACTGTGGAAGGAAGCTAGAGAACCCGGAGAGAACCCACGCTGCACGGGGAGAACATGCAACTTCCACGTAGAAAGATCCAGAACATTCTAACCAGGACACGAACCGGGGATCTTCTACCTGCGAGACGACGGTGCAAACACTATCTGCAATATTAACCACTAAATTACACACTTGATAAGAAGTACTGCGGGTTGATGATTTACTTTGATTTCCTCCACATGATCAGTCAAGGGCTGCAAGGTGGAGCGGTGGTTAGCACCGCTGCCTCGCAGCTAGAAGGTCGCTGGTTTGCGTCCCGGTGAGGACACCCGGGATCTTTCTGCATGGAGTTTGCATGTTCTCCCCGTGCAGCGTGGGTTCTCTCCGGGTTGTCCAGCTTCCTCCAAAAACATGTTGAGGTTAATTGGTGATTCCAAATTGTCCGTAGGTGTGAATGTGAGTGTGCTTGGTTGTCTGTCTCTAAGTGTAGCCCTGTGATAGACTGGTGACCTGTCCAGGGTGTCCCCTGCCTTCACCCTGAGTCAGCTGGGATAGACTCCAGCCCCCTACGACCCTTGTGAGGGTTAAGTGATGTATAGATAATGGAAGGGATGTTCAGTCCAACACATCCAGAATAAAGACTAACAATTTTTCTTTGTCATTGCTCAGGGAACCAGTTTGGACAGGTCTGGGCATACTAGAAAACCATTTCGGGCAACAGTGTAACCAAAACACCTCAAGTTTGACACACGGACCGACTGGTGAACGTCGTTATGAGCAACCAGCATCACAGCCCAATCACATACACAGGACACAATGCCTACCTCTTATTGTTAAAGCTGCAAAAGTCCTCAATGAATTGTGAATTTCAAGTTATTACTTACTTGAGAGTGGTTCTGTATGTGCTCGCAGGAATTTCTTTAAGTCACAAACAAAATGACAAACATATGACATTTAATATCATAAAGGTCAAAGGTCAGATTCCCATCTACATCATTATGTTTGGTACAAATACTTTTCGAGCCATTGTTCAACACAAAAGCAGCAGAGATTGTGACACAATTTTACATTTGTTATCATCCCAGATGCCCACATAATAGATTTTCTCTCACTGTCTAATATTATGTGAATCCAGACAGATATGAATTTAAAATGCAACTTCTGTGTTTGACAGAAATATACCACCACAAGGCAGTCTTTTTAGGTGTTTTTTTTCGTATAGTAGATAAAAGTTGCACCACTCATAGTCGTAGAAATTTTGAATTCATCACCATTTCTAGCCAAAAGTTCAAATCTGCCCACATTATTAGTGTTCAGTTTCTTGTGTTCCTATTTCAAGAACACAATGTTTTTGCTGATGTCACGTTGAGAATAAAGCAACCAGGAAACATCGTCACAGGAGCTGAAGAATTTCATTCCTTCTATCAGCTGATGCGAATTCCATCAAACCCACATGTTCCTTCTCTTTTCCAACAATCCCGAAGTTCAATCAATCTTTCAGTCCGATGAAAGCAAAATAAGTGTCAGACACAGAAAGAAGGGAAAACACACCACAGAGAGTCATATGTGAACACAGGTACCAAAGACAAACAGGGACCTGGAACACATTAATCACTTTCTTTTAAAGACTTTCACGCCCAACTTTTGTTTCTCCAGCTAAAGCAAAGTAAAGCAGAGCGGGAACACAGATCCACTGTGTGATCTCCAAATAAGAATTTAACACTGACTGATGTGTTTAAAAGCCAATTAAAGTGCAAAGTCAAACAATTTAAACAGCTAATCAAGTTAATGAATATTCAGAGGAGGATGAAACACACGACACCTCTTTCTTTCAGAGATCAAGAACTTGTTATGGCTAAACATTAACTATCACAGAGACCGATCATAGCAGCAGCTGACTGAAGAGAGAGAGAGAGAGAGAGAGAGAAGGCAAAAAGAGCCTCCTTTTTCTCCAAAATGTAACACCACACTAACTTTTCCCCAGATAGAAAAGAGTTGTAGTCTCGCCTGAGTGTTTGCCCACATAAGCTCAGTGGGATTACTCTCTCCGTTTGTTCATGGCAACACTGCACCAATGTAAAGTAGCCCCAAAACCTTGGCCAGAGGCCCGTCTGAATTTTAAGTGACCGGTCTCCCCACTTGTTCGTCGCTGCACATCTCCCTTCTTGTTCTTTCTGCCTTTCTCGCTCTGTAACTCCTCAGAGCTCGATTATTTAGGAGGACGTTCACATATCAAGGGCCTCCTTTCACTTCTGTGAGGCCCAGGAACCATATTTCTTATTTCCCAACTGGCAGGGCCAATCCCGCCCACTGTCACCTCATGGCTCTATAAAGGAGGGCAAAAGGACCTGATGATAACAAGTCGGTCTCAAGGCGAACCTGGCCATGCAGTGTAAAGTCCTCGTCCATGTCGTCCTCCTGGCACTCATAAAGCATGGTGAGTATTGTGTTGTGTTACGCAGGCTGCACCGAGGTTTGTAGGCTTGAGCTGATCAGGTGAAATGAGCAGTATTGATATTTGAGATGAATTTGTAACAGGGATCCCAAAATAAAATCATTAGTTTGTGCGGATATAAGCGTGGTTTACTGGGCGGGAGTTAAAGTAAGCGTAAAAGTGCTGCTGGTACCTGCTAATCGTATTATTACATATTAGTGTCAACATGCAGTGGAGCTTTATTTTGTGTGGACAACAACAGACTGGGCAACCACACTTTTCTTTACTGTTCATATTGATGTAGCTTAATCTGTAGTCGTATTCGCTGTTGTGATCGATGCTACAAATCAAAGAACAGGCCTGCTGAATTGGATTTTTATGATGTTTGCATCCGTGAAAGGAGTGCTGTGATTTCTGATGTGCAAAGTTGTTGTCCAGTTATTACATAAAATGTCTCTCAGTTGAACTTTTAAAAGTATTACAATACATACACCGACAAATGGCACAAAATGCTGCAACATAAAGCTAAAGGCGCACCCTGTGGACTAAACGTGCTCACAAAATCTATGACCAAAGGAGTGCAAAAAGTGAACTCACTGTTTAAATACAAGATAACATTCTTGTCTGTGCGCTACATGATCAGATGGTGGCATTGTTACAAGCAGTGCAAAGTACTTTCTAATTATGAGACGTTTAATTTAAAAATGCTCTGATCTGGCGTTTTAAATCATGTATTTGAAACGCCGTGTCAAAAACAGCTGCGACTTTAGTGGATCCGTGGGCTGTTTGCGGCTAAGTGGTTTGGACTAATTCAGTCAAAAATAAATGTGTCACAAGCATTAGTCATGTTTTCTGACCTTCATTCTTCTCCTTCCTGTTAGCCGGCTATTATAAACTCATCTGTCACACTTGGCAAGAGGTGCAACATAATAACTCTGCGCTTAAGAAAGTTTTCCACTCAAACTATATCTGCCAACAAGTATTTATTGTACTAGTTACTAATTAAGCTGATTGGATAGTCAGAGCTGTTTGAAGGGCTTTATATTTACACTGATTTATTGACGCATGCTGAGATTACTGATTTACTTTTAGGGATGAAAAGAAAGAATACAAAGTGGATTTCACGAAACTCAAACCCCTCTTATTCTCATTTTCTTGTCACTGCTCATTCAGACTTATGACGTGTGTCAGGTTCAATAAACAAACTGGATAGATGATATTTGCTTTCATGGTTTTACTTTGATCTTGTGATATTATAATGGAATAATAATAGGATTAAATTAATCGAAGACTTAAGAAAGACTTAAGGGGAGATTTTGTAACTGGCTGAGCAGTGTCTGTAATTGCCAACAGTGTGCTGATTAGGTACAAGTATCGTTAAGATTTTAACAGTCCTGCTACTTTTACTGATACTGCTTATCAGTGTGGTACTCTAATGGTATTCTTTTCGGTACTTTGTGATGTTTATGTTTGTTTTTTAAAGAGAAAAACCAAACAAGTTAAGAACAGAATAAAGACTGCTTTATTTTCTCATATGTACTCTACAAGAATTAAGATTTATGCAGACACTAGTGTTGTTTTGATGTGATGTTCAGAGCTCTGTGGACAGCGTCAAAGAATTCACTCACAAATAAAATATTCTGCAGTGTGTTTCATTAAACTGTCCAACATTATGTCACAATTAAAAGCTTCACCTTGAACAGATATTGGGTAAATGTCAGCACATTGTGCTGATAAAACCTCTTTCACGCTTCAATGTTGAGTAGAAACAAATGCAGGACTGACATTGTTTTTACTGTGGTATTAATACGTTAGTGAAGAAAACCGTGAAAGTACTTCTTCTGCCACTAACGCCAACATTCATACTTATCATATCAATCCTCCGGTATTTAAAAATTTGCACTGGTCACTCAGTGTCCATCAGTAGTCCTGACCTAGATTAAATAGTCCATTTAGCTGGATTTAATTTTTAATCATAGTTGTTTATTCTGAGTTTTCTGTTATTTTTGCTGCGTACTTGTGTCATTTCATAATTTGTCCCTAATTTTTCTAAACATGGACATTTGATCGTTGATGTTTAAGCTCAAATCATGAATGTAGTTGTGTTGGGATCATTTTTTTGTTAAGACTTTGATTACTGCAGACGTATCATGTGGTTTCCAAGGTTTGTGTGGCTGAAGACAGTGTTAAGGTTTAACTACCAAGCGGGCACAACTCCTGCAGCAAATAATGACTTCAGTTAGCATTCTTGTTGGTGGTTAGCACTGTTGTCTCGCAGCAAGAAGGTCACCGGTTTCGTTCTGCGTGGAGTCTGCATGTTCTCCCCGTGCAGCGTGGGTTCTCTCTGGGTTCTCTGGCTTCCTCCCACAAGGTCCAAAAACATGTTGAGGTTAATTGGTGATTCTAAATTGTCTGTATGTGTGAATGTGAGTGTGCTTGGTTGTCTGTCTCTAAGTGTAGCCCTGTGATAGACTGGTGACCTGTCCAGGGTGTCCCCTGCCTTCACCCTGAATCAGCTGGGATAGAATCCAGTCCCCTTGACCCTAGTGAGGATTAAGCGATGTATAGATGATGGATGGATTCTTGTTCAGGGTTGTTGTTCAAAGATTAAAGCATCACAGTGTTCCTGTAGCTATGCAACACATAATGTCAATAGAGCGTACAAGTACTTCTAACTGTAAAAAACCAAACCAAAAGCGTTTTCTGAGTTGATTTATTAAGTTCATGTGAATCAGTTGTAGAGCTGTAGCAGTTTGCATTTATCTACATTTTTAAGATGCACATTCAACTAACACAAAATTATTTCACATAAGTTGATGTGATTTATTTCTTTAACCTAATTTTCCAGATGTAAACAGTTTCCTATTATTTAAGTAAACTTAATTTGTTAGAATTTAATTTGATTTTACTTAGTATCAAAAACGACCAGCTGTATAGCACAGTTTCCCTTTAAAGAGGAAGTTTGTGTTATTTCTTCTTTTCAAAGAAGAAATTTCATCACAGTTGTTACACAATTGAAGTTACAGATGACTAAATACATGTTGACTTGACGCAACTCAGGACCCCTCAAAAGCCTCTGAAGTCGTCCAGTTCCTCTGCGTTTTTTGCTTCTGTCACTTTTGTCTTCACTGTGGGCTCATTTTTTTATGGCAATATACAGTTTATACGAGCTTCCTGATGGAGGAACACGCAGCAGATGAATAGTTTAACCATCAAAACGGTTTGTAATCTGCTGATTCTTTCTGGTTTCACACTTTCTGGTCAATAAATGGTGGCACTTTGGTGATTTCTTTTTAAAGACAACACACCTGTCAAACCAACAGGTGGGTTTTAGGTTAAAGCAGTTTAATGCAACCATTTGTTTTATTGTATTTTGTTTTGAGGGATGAATTTTCAGTTAAAGCTGGATTTAAATGTCGTCTCATAGAGACACTCCTGTGTCGCACTAAGGAGAATTAATGACAGCTGTTCATTGAAGGCTCTTTATTTTCTCTCCATCTAAACTTCCTCTTTCTGCTTATAGTGTCTACAAGTGAAGTCCAGTCCAGCCCAAACACAAACGCGACCCTCCCCTGCAATGCGACGCTCCCTGTTCCTGTTAAAGGGGGCAAAATAGACGAGTCTCTAATTGCTGTCAGCTGGACAAGCAACGGCTCTGATATCGCCTCATTTGGAAAAGCAGCAACGCAGATAAAGGAGGGTTTCAGCTGGGACACCACTGGTTTCATCAATGGGGACTTTTCACTGAGCGTCCTTAAGGCCAGTCTTAACCTCCAGGGAGTGTATGAATGCACGGTCAGCTACGACTCCAAACTCCTGCACTCCAGCAACGTTACATTCAGTATCCTCGGTACGTCTCTGTTCAGTCCTTTGAGTTGCGCCTTAATTTGAACCTTAAGCAAAGTACAAAGCTGAAATCTTTTCCCCCCTTACTTTCTCTTCAGCCTCCCCGACTCTCTCTGTGCCTCAGCAGTGGGTGGTGTTAGAAACAGAGAGCCAGCTGCAGTGCCAAGCACATGGTTTCTACCCTCCTCCTGTCTCTTTCTCCTGGACCAGAGACGGACGAGTGATTCAGCCTCCCTACCAGGTGGAAGGAGAAATTGCTCCAGATGGCTATTACGCGGCTGTGGACAACCTGACCTTCTACCCTTCGCGTGAGGACCAGAATGCGACCTTTGGCTGCATGGTGTCACACAGTGGCAGCGATCAGGAGCTGGATTTCCAACTCAACATCACCTGTGAGCAACACAAAGATGCATTCTGTCACTATTGTGCATTCAAAATGTCACCTCGGTGACTCATCACATTCTTGTTTATTTATAAGACCCACATCTGTCATTGAAGGATTAACCACAAGGTTGAACGTCTGTCCTCAGATCTCTCATCTGTTCGACTGTCTGTCGTGGCGCCAAGCTCCAAAGACATCCCCCTCACTCTTTACTGTGACGTGGAGAGTTTCTACCCGGAAGAAGTGTCTGTGTCATGGCTTCAAAATGGCACCTCACTCCCCGAGCCTCCTGTCCCAGAGCAGAACCCAGATGGAACCTACAGAACCAGACGTTACTACACTCTGAGCCCCGAGCAGAGAGGCCGAGGAGGGAAGGTGGAGTGCGCGGTAAACCAACCTGGGGCGCTGCATCCCGTCCGGGGCTCAGCGTACCTGGACAAACTGGATCCTCAAGGTAGGATTGTAATTTGAGAGTCTAGCCCACAAAATAACAAAAAAAATGACTCCCTGGTGATTTTTTGGAAAGATAAGGCCCTTAAATAAGATTTGGCAAAACCTGAGAAAAACAAGTCTGGTGGCTGCGTGACAACCTTAAATGTCATCACACACTCCCTGTTGGAGGAAATGACATGTTTGTTTACATCTTTTTATTGCTGCTCTATCACAACTACAACTTCTTCCTTAATGCTTTACATTTTTTTCCTCTCTCTGTTTCCTGTAAGATGAGGCTCCAGTGTTGACCAAATCAGCCAAAGCTTCTGTGGCTATGATGTGCATTTCGATAGTGCTGGTGTTCTTGCTGTGCTTCGGCTTTTCTTGGAGGAGAAGAGATGGTAATTCAGAACCTGTTATGCAGTGAATGCAGTGGTGTCATATTGTCACAGGTCTATTTGTGACTTTCATCCCGCGGTTATGAACTTGTGACTCTTCCTCTTATTTCAAGGCTTTAAGGACGCCTCGAGAGAAATAAACACATTTTTCACACAAAGTACAAAAATGACAGAAAAACCAAAATAAAATCATTTGTTTGGGAAATTGTATCATCTTGAGATCCCTTACTTACACAGTGATTGTATTGCTTTAGTGCATGAAGACGTTAGTAGTGAAACTTTAAGATGTTTACATAATGCCAAATATCAGTGCACTGCTCATCAATGAGACGACTACTGAAAATAATAGATCTGAATGAAATTTATGTTACACCGTGAGGCTCCACACCTCACACTTTCATAGCTCCTTTTGTTTCCTTCGTTTAACGCCCTGTGTGGGTGTGTTTCCATGTTGTGTTAAGCTAAATTCATGTTAATTAACCACTTACTGAGTACGTGTCAGGAGTCTGAGGTGGTTTTATTCACACACTTTGCATCAGATTTCGGTTGCATCCAGATGAACATGTTGTACAGGAAAACCACAGACGATAAAAACATATTTGTGTAGAGATGCATGGCTTCACTTGAAAGGTATCATAGTACAAATGAAAGCTTGAATCCACAACAACTGCAGTATTACATTTCCACCAACTACCACATGAAAGTAACTGAGCAACTTACACTGTGTTCAAAATAGACTTGGATTTATTGTGAAATTTCCGCCACCTCTGCCCTCATTTTCTCTCATTAACTCTCAGAGAAACAGAAGTCCCTCAACGTGTCGGGGATCATCCTCCCTCCTCGGGTGATCGTAGGTCAAAAGGGCCGAGTGTCGCTGAGCATCGAGGGCAGGAGGGTGGACCGAGTCCAGACTGTGTGGTTCCTCAATGACAACCCCATCTCTGACACCTCAATCACAGGTAGGAGAGCTTATAGAATACTATTTTGGTCACCTCTTAAGCCACAAATACTGTTCCAAAACATGTTTTTAATTGTAACACAGGTCAGTTTGCAAAGTTACCAAATGCATCAGTCTGAATTTGGAGAGAGAATCTTGGTGTTTAACATTTTCCTTAACCTTTCAAGGCCCAAGCTCTTGTTTGATATACTTTTTTTTTTTTTTTTGTTATTTGATCTGTTCTGTTGAAATGTTCCTTTAAAGCTTCTTAAGAAGAAGTAAAAGGGCAAACTGGGTGTTTTATAAGCTTTATAAGCAGAAGAAATTAGAAATAAAATGTGTTTAAAGTGAATGATGGCACACAACAAAATGTCATTTGTATTGCGACTCCTCCTAAAACGTACCATGTCGTCTCTTCTGCTAACAATTGACAACCTTACACGCATAGGAACCTCCAAAGCTAACTTTAACTGCCTCTACAGCCCCCTAACCACCATCCATCTCCCCTACGGTCTAACTCTCACCTCCCCAGCATCAGAGAAAGGTCCTCTCCTGGCCTCCAGAGGCGAGCTGGGATACTACAAGCTGCACACTCAGGGGCCGCTGCACTCGTCTGGCAACGGCATCCAGCAGCTGATCTCCTCGCTCACCTTCATCCCCCAGATTTCCATTCACAAGGGCGCCGTGTTCAAGTGTCAGGTGTCCTACATGGGCAAGGACAAGATCGTGGAGGAGAGGGTGTCGGAGAAGTTTACTATTCTCTGTAAGGAAAGGTTGTTTTTTTTTTTACTATTATTTAGTTTTAGTTTTTTCTGATTCCTGAAACAGTGTGTTCTGTCTGTTCTCTCAGCTCCTCCAGAGGTGTCAGAAATACAGCTGGCAGAGACGCAGAGTGACTCAGGTAAAGCAAACAGGTTATTCTTATATTATATATTTGAAACATCATTTACCGGGGGAGGCTACATCCCTGCAACTTCTACCCTTCCAGATGTCATCAGCATGACAGTCCGAGCGACACATTTCCATCCAGATGTCATCACCTTCCGCTGGTTCTGTCAGGGCGGCGAGCTCAGCCCCGTGGCGTCCCAGGCCTCGTCCTCCCCTCGTCCAAACTCTGAGGGATACTTTTCAGCCTTCAGCCAGTGCAAGCTTCCCCGAAGTGAACTGGAAAGAGGAGCAGCTAAAGTGTGGGTCAGCGTTCACCACATAGCCCTGAAGCAGCCGGTGTTCCGAGAGACCAGAGGTAAGAATTAGAGATAAACTCAGCATTTTGTTTAAGGTTGTGTGTTGGAAAGTGATACAATATTTCTTCATTTTATCCCAAACAGGCTTCATCAAGAGGCCGTCTGTGTCCGACATCGTCAGCTCCACTTGCTCCTCGGATCAGATTTCGACTCTGGGATGTGAGATCATGGATTTCTACCCTCCGAACATATCCGTCACTTGGCTGAAGCTCAGAGAGGGAGAGCAGGATGACAGAGAGGAGGAGGTGATAGAGGGAGGAGAGATGTGGGGTCCTATCCAGACTCAAACCAGACTCTACAGGGCGACGGCCACTCTGAAGAGGAGGGCAACCAACCAGGAGAAAAAGGACAGAAGAGGAGGGATTATTTGCAGAGTGGAGCACTGTTCCCTACAAGAACCTATTGTCAGACACTGGAGAAATGGTGACATCGGTACGAATCCTTACACGCGCCTCAACTATCCGCTTGTTTGTGTCGCATCTTTTTATTCATTCGCTTTCTGCCCATTTTCCTCTTCACCAGCTGCCCCCTCCATCCCTCCCTCCATCTCGGTGTGTTGGAGCAGCGAAGGCGTCGGCGTGTTCTCTCTCCTGCTGAAGGGAGGTCACCCGAAGGTCAAACTACTGTGGGCAGCAGGAGGGGCGACGCTCTCACCGCTGGTGTCCAGTGAGACCGAGGAGATCGGAGACGACGGACAGAGAGAGCTGAAAAGCGTGTGCGCCCTGGAGAGGTCAACGGGTCTGCCGAGTCCCACCAGCAAACAGCCGGAGAGACGCAAGAACGGACACGCAATAAGTACGTGTCAGTAACATACACTGTGTATACATTAGTCTTTTATAGAGAGAGTTCAGGAGAGCCTTACATGGATATCTTCTAAACACATCAGGCTCAGGCTGAATGTTTCTTTCATTGGCTTTTGAAAAGAAACAAAAAGAGGAATGAATGATCAGTAGGGTTCTAATATAAACAGATGTCTTATATGACGTAGTTGCAGCTTTTTTAAAAAACTGAACATATTAGAGACCAAACATCTGAATACTTACACATCTGCTGTGTGTTGATTTTTCTCATCCTTTTATAAATTTGTCTTATGCAAGGCTAAATCATTCTCTTTCCATTTTTCAAAGTGGAATTGTGTAATTCAGTTTCTTTTCCTCCAACAATCTGCTTAAAATTGCCAGCCTGATTTTTAGCTGTAGATCTAAAATATCATTTACAGATGATAGAGAAGTCGTTTGTCCTCATGGATGAAACACTTCTTTTTTCACATTTTATTCCCAGATTCTACCCTTCAAAAAGATTACAAACATACTGCTGGGTTGTCCGTAAAAGTATTATTGTGAACAATATGTGGAATAAAAGTACATCATTACAACAGAAAAGACCCAAAAAAGAAGCAGATTGTAAAATCATTTATAGTGAACAAACTCTTTTCCTATTGGCTTGTTGTAAATAGTTCAAACCTTATGGCAGCGTGTCCACACCATGTAAGAAACCTGAGGTCGTCTTTCCAAAGACAAAAATGTTTTAGGGGTGTAAACAGATCATCTCTAGTTGACCTTTTTGACCCTTAGGTGACGCTTCTATCATTAGGCTTCAGCAAAGTTAGTCCGTTAACACTGTATAGTTTCAGAACAACAAATTCATGAATCTTCTAACTTGGGTACTTTTGACTTAAAACCAGGAGCTCAACGAAGGACCCTTTAATTTAAGCTAATATAATAATAATATAATATAGCACAACTAGCATGTTAGTCAGGATGCATTGTTAGAATTAAAACTCTCAGAGACTCTTCTTGTTTGCAGTTAACTTTCTGAATGTCGTTCATGTTTGTTAAATGTAGTCATGGTTGTTTTCTTTCTATATTAACGTCAGTCTGACTCACTGGATGTAGACTTTAGGTGTAAGTCAGCCATTGGCCTCTTCAGGCCACTTTATCCTCTCCTTCCACTATTTGCGTGTTCCTGTTTCTAAAATCCACTTCCAACAATCTCTGGCCTTGCAACCAACCACACTGACATTTTCAAGCTTTGCAGAGGCTTTGGATCGTGCAGTAAGGCAGCCCTGCTAGTGGTTTTTGGTGGGTTATGCTTCACTCAGCTTCATCCAAGGCAACTGTGAATGCTTTAAAAACTACAAATGAGCTAGAGCGTTTTTTAATTTATTTATTTTTACCCCTATATCTAAATCACTGAGAGCAATCTAACAAGCTGCAAGATTTTCACGTTAACTGAAGAAAAAACTCTTTGCAGAAGATGTCAGACAAAAGCAAAAGATTAAAAAAATAAATAAATAAAAACAGAAACGTAATATCTTAAGATTATTGAACTTGTTTTGTGGGAATTTAATTTTGCAACCTAAAAACTGAACAAACTAGTCAAGATAAATGCAGAGAAGTCACCTTCTTAAGGCAGCAAGGGAACTCTAAAATGATTTCCAAGTTTTCAGTGTTGTTTCTGAATTCAAAACAGTCTGAATATTGGTTCTGTAGTAACTTTGTTGCTTCACAGAAACGAAAGCAGCAGTCACAGACCCCGACGCCGAAGGAATAGAGTACATTGACGAAAAAGTGGACGGAGAGAATAACAACATTGAAAGGGAGGAGGAGACGCTGTCGACGCTGTCGGAGCTGGACGAGGACAGCGACAAAGAAGGAGAGGACGACCCAGGAGCGCTGCACATCAACAGGGTCAACTTGAGGAGGGCTCCCAGGGAGAGCGAGAGGGCGCGTCTGAGAGTCTGCGTGGAGATCACACACCCGGCACTCAGAGTTCCTGTTTATCGAACCTGGACAGGTACGACTATGGCTACAGAGAGTGAACATGACATCTAACCTGCCACCTAAATGTTTTGTTTTTAACCTCCTTACACGTATTACAGAGTGTAAATCATGAAACACTCTCACCGAGGCTCACTTTCTCTCAACAGGAAGTTGGTTCATGTGTTGCTCTTATTGTTGACCTTCTGTTCTCTCTTCCAGAACCCAATGAGGAAATTTCATCTTCTGCATGAACACCCTGCAAGAGTGCTTCTCTATTTCATATATCCCATGTAATGTATCTAATATTTATCTCTGTAGTAAATATAAACGTGTAGTTCTGTTTTGTTTTTGTTGTTGTTGTTTTCTTTTAGGATATCCAACTGTGTCCGATATGATCAACGAATGTGGCTTTTCCTCCAACATTTTACGGTTACGTTTTATATTCTTAGAAAGTTATCCTTTATATATACATATTTTTGTACAAATAATTTTACTGTGGATATTTTTCTGAATCTGCATTTGAAAATAAAAAAAACTAAATCATTTTGTTGAAGCCTCTGTGAGTTTTTGCCTAAAAGTTACTGCAGCTCTCTTCTTGCTTGGCGTCGAACGGTTATCTGTTGTTGGTCAACCTGAAATAAGTTCTCATTTCAAAACACACTTCTGTATTTTTATTCTGTCCTCTCACCACAGAAACGTCACTTCGCTGCACTGAGACGAGGAGGTGGTGTGTGGTTAAGCTGAGAAATTAAGATGGTCTTTAGTTTGCAACTTCCCCCTCTGATTAGACAGCAAGTACTTGTGCTGCATCCGTGCAGTGATGACGGGTGGAAACGTACGGGATGTAAAGCATAGGTTTTTTGCGTGATATAAAATTTGGGTGGCTCATTTTTTATGTTTTAGCAACTTTCAAACATATTGCATAAATTATACTTTAACCTCAGAGTCCACACAGCTGCTCAGTTATAAGTGTACCGTTAAAATAATGTGCAAGATAACTGACAGTCTATTCAGGGTGCTTTATTGTCATTTTACACGCATGTACAATGAAATTAAGGTGCACAGGCAGGACTCGCACTCAAATACTCAACAGTTCTGACTATATTTGATGTAGTAGAGGCAATAAAACCACAGTATTTTTACTAATATTTACTAAGATTGAAGAACTTTCAAGTGAGGTCATGCTCTTCTGTTGAAGATTTTCAACTTCATGTAAAAAGCTTAAGGTGTGCTTGACACGTGAAAAGAGTGATCATTTGCACTAACACATTGTCTGACTCATAGTAAAAATCACTTTTAAGAAAATTAGAAAACAAATTGATGAACCAGGAATGTTATCTTTTTCATTCGACACATTCTTCTTTCTTGTCAAATCGCGGCCCCTCTGTGGCTCATTGTAATAAACTGCTGGTAGTTAAAGACCCTCGTGGCTCAGAGCCTGCAGCAGAGATGAGGAACAGGCTACAGCGGTCTGGTAAACTCACTTCTGTCTAGCTCTATGGCCACAGACACCTTTGTTTTTCACACCTACAGATAAAGTACTTCATCAGATTAGTTAGCACAGTTCCCTGCAGAGCCACAAAAAGCTTGATTCATTGTTTTCCTGCATGCATGGATATTTCTCAACACTGACACAGACTTTGATATCAAGTGAAGTTCCAAAGTGTAACAGCAGCTAAAGTATAAAAGAGAGTCATAAAGTTACAGAAATGATTCAGTGATGTTAGACTCACAACAAAACTGCACAAATCAATCAGGCTACTGGCCAAAGACAGACTCATGCTGGTGCACGGAAATGACAAAAGGTGGGTGCATGCAAAGTGTGCTTTCAGTCTCCTTTTAGTCAGTGCGTATGTGAAATATCTGCAATTTTATCATCTGACGGAAGCTATAAATACTGATAACGTTCCTCGAGGCAAGCAATGGATATTTATAGGTCACATTTAAAACAACACGCAGAGGCAAAGTGTTTGTCAGTCAGTTGGCACAACTTTACTTCACAAATTTAAATATTACAATCAAGACACTAGAATATTATCTATTGTACCAAATGACCTAATTAAAAAATGATCTGCCCCTCTCCCTTAAATCCTCACCTCAGCCGGTAGAGGCAGATGTCCAGCCTGTCTGAGCCTGGCTCTGCAAACACAAATGTGTTTGTTCATTGTTCTTGGACTGTTTTTGTGGTATTCAGTGTGTAACTTGGGTCTTCATTTTATTTTCAAAAATGAGTCAGGGATTTAGTTATAGTATAAATCACTGTATATGTCACTTAACCTTAACATTTAAGTGAGTGAGGCTGATAATGTTGGGTCTTTAATGTTTAATTCAGTCAAGTAAGCTTGTATTTTATAAAATGTTGTACAGTTTTAACTATAGTTTTTAAATGACTAAGGTACATTCACATAATAAATAATACTGTAGAGAAGTGATGCACAATATTAAAATTTCTGGTTGATATTAAGATTTCTGATATCGTCGATAAACGATATTACTGATGTCGATATTCAATTTTTGTTCACACTGAAAAATGAGTATAAGTGAGCACTGTGAGACTTAAAAACTATTCAAAAGAAGCCCAAATTAGACCACATGGTCTTCTTTTTTACGTAACAAAGCAAAACAAATTTAAACATATTTTAACATGTTTAGTGTTCAAGTCCAGGCCCATTTAAATAAAAACATCTGTGAAATAGCAGCAATATCAAATGTAGAGACAAAGGCGCTCATGTTAGTCAATCATCAGTTTTTCACATCGGCTTAATTTGTTCATCGGAGCGATACGGATATTTCAGAAAAAAACACTAATATCGGCTGATACCAATGTGGTCCCCGGGACATCGTGCATCCCAACTGTACGGTCTCAACCTCAGTATTTAAAGTTGCACTTTGGTTGTTTTAAATGTACAAGTACATTCTAAAAAGTTATTCAAGGGAACCTATTCCCAATATTTAATTAAAAGCAGACTGCAAGATAAATAATCTGATTTACTGACTTGGATACACATTATTTTGATGGGTTGACTTGACATAGGGCTGCATGGTGGCTCAGTGGTTAGCACCGTTGCCTCACAGCAAGAAGGTCGTTGGATCTCTTTGTGTGGAGTTTGCATGTTCTCCCCGTGCAGTGTGGGTTCTCTCCGGGTTCTCCGGCTTCCTCCCACACGGTCCAAAAACATGTTGAGGTTAATTGGTGATTCTAAATTGTCCGTAGGTGTGAATGTGAGTGTGCTTGGTTGTCTGTCTCCCTGTGATAGACTGGTGACCTGTCCAGGGCGTCCCCTGCCTTCACCCTGAGTCAGCTGGGATAGACTCCAGCCCCCCGTGACCCTAGTGAGGATTCACTGGTGTGTCAATAATGGATGGATGGATGACTTGACACAATAATGTTAGTAATTGCATGAACTTAATATTTAGTATAATTTAGACTCAAATTTGTGAGTTGAATGATTAAAAACTACATTTAGGTTGAAGTAACTTAATGAAATTGACTTGATAACTTTATTTTTGTTCCCCTCCAACACCTACTAAACATACCTGAACAATTTCAGACAGCTAAGGGCCGTATTTTATCAATTATTTTAATTGTAGAGGAAAAGTTAATTCTCTTTACTTTTTTCTCTCTAGGTTAAACATGATTTCGTTAAAAGTTTTCATAACGTTTTCATTATTTTATTTCTGCAGTTGAGGTCAAACATAGTTTTTGTAGAGTGTGAGGGTGACTGGGGTAAATACAATCATGAACAAAGTCCCGTGTGTTTCCTACCAGCACTGACTCTGCTGTGGGTGAGCAAACCTTTTAAAAAGCCTCTCACACATTTTTGTGGCCTGACAGATCACACAGCTTCAGTTCACATCCGCAAACTGTGCGGCAGTTCGGCCTGATGCAGTCAATCAGCCTCTTCCTCATTATGGACCCCGGACGTGCTGCGTAAAAGACAACTGCGCGGTGACTCACAGCTGATGCCGGCAAACCGGGACGCTGCTTTCTGTCGAGTTTTCTGAGAAAAAAAAAGAAAGAAAAAAAGTTGTGACACGCTGGTTTGATTTGGCAACACGGACACATTCAGAGCAGAAATCAGGTCAGATGATCAGAGAAGCGACGAGGAAGGAGAGCGAGCATGGACCCCGACAGCCCTTTAACCAGGGTGGAGAGGACTCTGTGGAGCGTCTGGGTGAGCTGCTGCGTCAAACCATCAAATAACTGCGTGAATGTGCAACTTTGAAGCCATGAAATGTGGACGTGATGTCTCTCATAGTGTGTCAGGGTGCCTTTGTCTCTCATGTACACTGTGGACTGTATGGATCTATATGAATGCTCCTCTCTCCACCCCTCTCCATCCCCCTCCCACGCTCTTTTCCTGTGTGTTTGTGCAACTTGGACGCACACTGGGCGTTTTTTGTTGTTGCGTGATCACAATTAAGCACTTAAATGCCAAAGATGGCTGTGCAAGATTGACAATGTGCACTACAGAAAGAAAAGTATGAGCCCACCAGAGCATTGCACTGGAGGTGTTTGGATCTGTCTGTTTATTAGCTTTATTTTGAAATAATGTTTCACTGAAATGAACTCTTTAGTTCAGATTTTTGTTTAAAAGCCAGACAAAGCTTAGACACTACTTTCGCTTGATTAGATGTGTTTAAAGCAGCAAGGGAATTTCCTTGAAACTACATCAAATTCATTTTAACCAAAGAAAACACCATTTAGTGTTGGATTTTTCCCCCAACATGTTAAATGAGAAGAACTTCAAATATTTTTAAAAAAAAATATATATATATATAGACAATCAGCAGAAAGAGGAATAGTGATATGATTGGATGGCTACAGGAAAGAAGGACCTCCTGTGACACTCAGACGGGCCTTTAGTCACTCCTCTGGTGAGTCATAATATTTTGTGAATGTAGGCGAAGTTGTCCATGAGAAGAGGAGTTTTAACATCCTCTTCTTTACAGCTGCATGCAGAACGTCCAGATCCACAAACAGGACTAAACAGGCCCTACGAATGAGTTCACTGAGTCTTTTGTGGTCATTAAACCTTCAGGTTTTTGCCTCATGCAGCCGACCACGTCACAGAAACTGTCTCTGACCAGCACAGACTCCTAAAACATTTGCAGCGCAGTGCAACATGCACTGACGGAAAAGAGTCGACTCTGGTCCTTCAATTAATCCAGTTTCCTACCAAAGTGAACTCCTAGATATGTGTACTACTCTACTATTCCTATTGGAAGCAGGAGTAACAGGAGTTCTGGATCTGAGATGGAAGAGTTGAGAAGATTCTCATAAGCTTATTGCATTTATTTGGAATTAAAGTTCTTCTTTGGAGTCTGCCACAAAGACAATTAGGTTTAAACTGACCTGTAACATAATGTGTGACTGATTTTGTTTCTCTTGTGCAGCCACAAGAGCGTTAGTGAGGTTTGGTGTAATGTGTTGTGGTTCTCAGTCATTTCCTCAGTGGACTATTTTTTACAACAGAATGACTGACAGTAAACTTTCAGCAGTAATGGCTGCTGTTATTGCAGTGAAGCTCATTTTATCCTTAAAGGTGATCTAATCAATGTGTTGGATTTGCTGCGATGATGAACCCACAGGTAGAAATCAGTCAACTCTGCCGTTGCCTTCATCTCGACTGAGCGTTTAAGCGCCTCTCAGTTCATTGGTTTGGTTTCACATCTGCAACTTCACTGTTTTGGTTCCATCTAATCGCTCTCATGGACCGCATTTGAGTTGCAGCAGGCATCTATTTTACACACACACACACACACACACACACACACAAAAGAAAACATTCACTTGATTGATAATTAGACTGACAGGCCGCTTTCTTCAACTGATATGCATCAGTATGCTGATTCAGAGGCTTGAAACCAGGGTACCAGTATCTGTACACAGTTTGCAACTTGCTGGTGAACATGCTGCATCATTTAGCAGCTAAATAAAGAATTAGGAGAGGAGCAGAACAGAACTAATGGTGCTGCGTGTCCACTGTATGTCATGTGTTTGGAATGCTGAACTTTTACAAGGTCAGTGTTTTGTTTGTATATTGCGTTGCCCTGAGATGGTAGAAGAAAAAAAAAAAGCTTCCTGCTTGCAGTTGAATCATCTTTTTTGAAGGTTCCCTATTGAGTGAAATGAACAGGAAGTATGTAAGTGGCAGCTGTGATACGAGCTGGTGGAGTTCCCGAAATATTCCAGAAAGGAAAAGGGGCTTTGTTTCTTATCTAATTTAATATAGGATACACTGGTCCATCCTTTTAAAAAAACGGAAAGGAGATGAAGCTGAAGGAATTCCTTTCTCCACACGATGCGCTGTCCACAGCAGACCTACATGCACCATAACATCAGAAGTACTGCCTCACATCGTCTTGTTTGTCTTTTTCTAGTGAGCTCATGAATTCTTCTTCACATCTTTTCGTCACTTTAAAATGTCTTCTACTGAGGCTAGAAAAAGATGGGTTTTTTATTTAAACTTTTCGACTACAACCAAGTTTAAATGGAGCCATAATTAATGTTTCTAGATACCCTTGCTGTGAAAAAAGAAATCTGTTTCTCACAGGGGTGGGGTTGAAGTTGGGACTTTGTGGAGGCCCTTCATGTTCTTCCATCTATAACTCGGAAAACCATTTATGGATGTTTCTTTGTGCATGGGTGCATTGTTGTGCTGAAACAGGAAAGGGCCTTCCCCAAATTAGCTGCAAAGCTGGAACAACACTATTGTGTAAATAACCTTGTATGCTGCAGCACTGAGAGTTTCCAACATCAGATTGTATGCATAGTGACTAAAAAAAAAGCTAAAAACAAAACAAGGTGAAAAAAAAATGTATGCAGATTGGATCGTTTGTGGCTTTTTGCCAACTATCTCTCCATCTCTTTCTCAGACCTATTTAACTGGAGCTGTGAACAGATTCTTCAGGCCGCAGCCAGCTAACACCGTCTACAATGACCCAAACTCCTTCCAGGAATCTGCAGTTGACAGAGAATCTCCTAATTGCGGACCTGCTGAGCGTGACACCGGCGGAGGGGGAGCCGATGAGGAACAGCCTCTTGCGACAGCCTCTCAGCTTGGCTCATCTCGGCCAGTTGTTGTCTGGGAACTTCCCACCACAGACATCGACTTGAAGCCCGATGAAGAAAGCGTGCGGTACAAAGCGCGGCCGAGTAGAAGCAGCGAGGGGGAAGAATCTTCAGACGCTGAGGGCACGAGAGGCGATGCTGAAGATGCAAGAGCCAAAGAACAAGAAAAACCGGAGATCGAAAAATGTTGTGCACGAGATGAGACTCCACAGGATGATGAACGACATGTGAGAACTGGGTCACGAATTCTTAGAGATGATGCCGTGAGTGAAGACGTGGAGAAAAGTGACGGAACAGGTGGTGATGAGGAAGAGACTGTGAGTACAGCAACACCAGGTGAACATCAGGAAATAGAAGAAACAGTGACAAAGATCCACGTATGGGAAGAAGAAGGTGAAGACATGGAGAAAAGTGGAGGAAGAGCTGGTTATGAGGAGGAGAGTGTGAGTACAGCAGCACCAGATGAACATCAGGAAATAGAAGAAACAGTGACAAAGATCCAAGTAGGGGAAGAAGGTGCAGATATGGAGGAAAGTGGAGGAAGAGCTGGTTATGAGGAGGGGACTGTGAGTACAGCAGCACCAGGTGAACATCAGGAAATAGAAGAAACAGTGACAAAGATCCACGTAGGGGAAGAAGAAGGTGAAATGCACCACGAAGATGAACAAGATGACACTGAGGTGAAACTGTGCACAATGATGGATTCACGTCCAGAAGAGGAGGATGAAATGCTCCGAGGAGAGGCAGGGATGCAGAAGGACGATGCAGCTCCAGTCATGACAGAAGAAGAAGCAGAAGTCTGTGATGTTGTGTTACAGCTGGTCACTGAAAATAAGTCGGATGAGGAAACAAAACAAGATGAAAATCAGCTCATGGTCTCTCAAGTGGTGTCAGATGTGTCGGATGATGAGCTAGTTGCTGTTGGTAAAAGAGAAAGTGATGAATGTGAGGACGAGGGAGCGAAGCAGGATGAGAGGGAGCAGGGTGCCATCGAGGAAGAGCCTAACAATGAGGCTGCAGTCAACCAGACAACAGATGAAGTGCCAGAGCAGGAAGAGATCATCAGAACGGTCACAGACGACAGTCAGGTAGAGAACATTCTAACAGTTACATGCAGGGAAGAAGCTGTGCAAAACACTGAAACATGGCAGCACCCAGCTGATCTGACAGATGAAGAAGAAGAAGAGGAAGAAGAAGAAGAGGATGTGGCGTTTACAGAAGTGCAAACCAAAACAAGAGAGGCAGATGTGGCGATAACATGCATTTCATTAGATGATAAGGGTCAAGCACAAGAGGAGAGGCTCTCCAGTGAAGCGGGTAACAGAGACATGGAAATAGCATTTACAAGCACCCCAGTTACCGTAAAACCCGAAGGCGAGACGGGACAGGAAGTAAGGGGAGAGCTGGGAAATATTCCCCCAGGGATAAGCGAAGGCCAGGTTGTTGTGTCGCAGGAGCTAAATACTCCAACATGCGAGGAAACGCAAGAGGGAGTTCCTGGATACAACAATGAGCTCGGGCCAGATGAAAACACAACACAAAGGTTCCTGGAAGTAGGAGATTACGAGGAAACACAGACCACTCAGTTACCAGAAGAGGTGGAGGGCGAAGAGCAGGAGAGCCTTCAAAACCGGAGCACAGGAGCTGACTGTTCACAGGCGACGGAGCCTATGGAAGAGAAACAAGAAGGAACCGAAGATCCTGAAACAAGCTTTAATTTCTCTGTGGAGGAGCACACTGGAATACAGCACCTTACTGATACTGGATTGACACAAGAAACGGAGAAACCGCTTGCTGAAGGAGTAATTCAAGAGTTAGGACACTTATTCGGAGGAGAAGGAGGAAAATTACTGGAGAGCTCAATGAAGACGGAGATCAAACACATCAGCTTCACAGAGGAGACGGATTCAGCGACAGAAGAGCTTCAAGATGTGACTGAAGAGCTGTTGGTTGATTTTGGAATAGATGGAGGGGTGTGTGATTCCAAAGAAGCTGCGAGAGACGGAGCTGTAGCAGCAGATGAAGCAATCTGGTTTGCTGATGAAAGTTCAGAACTCCTTGAGGCCGAGCTGCAAAAGATGACAGAGACGATCTTCTCTCAGGAATCTGTACATGATGCACATACAGAGCAAAACAGCAGCAGGATCCCCAGTTTACTAGAAGACATAAATGAATTTGAATTCCTGAAACCCTTAGTTGAGATTGAGCCTAATTTACTTGATGATAGTAGTTTAGAAATGTATGATGCAGGGATAGATGTGGAAGAAAAAGGTCACGGGGAAGAGGAGGAGGAAGCTGAAGATGAGATGCACCTAGAAGCAGGAACGGCAGCTGAGCTAATCACAGAAATGAAAGAAAAAAGAACTGATCTGATCACAGAATCTGAATTCTCTCAACACTTGGAGACGAGAAATCAATCACCGGACAGAGCACTTGAGATAAGTATGGAGGAGATGATAGCCGAAGCAGCTGATGAATCAAAGACAGCTGAGCTCAAACCAAAAGATTCCTCAACAGAGGAAACAGCAAAACATGAGACGGATTCAGAGGGAAGCTACTCAGAAGAAACAAGCAACTCAATCAGCGGACACCAAGATGTGATTGATGAAGAAATCCTCGACTTGTGGATCGAGACGGCGATGTCAGAGGACGCTGATGGGAGAGAACAAGAAGAAGAGCCTGAGCCAGAACAACACATGGACACTGAAATAGAGCCATTGAATGAGGAGCAAGGCGACATAACATCAGCGAAGGAGGAAGAGCAGCTCGTGGAGTCAAATCCAGCAGAATCTCAATTAGCAAGCGACACAGAAATGTCTTCATCAACTGTAGAGTCTGGATTTTTAACCCAGTCTCTCAGTGAGTGGGACGCTCAAAGCAGCGAAACTCGGCTACTGAGATCGGAGAGCGCTGGCTCGCTTCAAGGCATACAGGACATGTTGGTTGGTATGTCAGAATCAGCAGACATCTCTGAATTCTCTGCATCGCCGGCAAACTCTGAATCCAAGGATGCATCGATAGAGGAAACAGCAGAGGGAGTGCCGTCTCACTTAAAAGAGGAGACACGATTTTACCCAGATTCTAGAGCTACATCACCAAATGAGAGTAATCTAAATCAGGAATCTGATGAATCACAAGAAAAAACTGATGAAGAAACAGTTGAAACAGAAAGTAGATCACAGAAGGAGATTGATATCGAGGTGACAAACAAAGGAGAGAAGACTGACTGGAAAGACAGTGAATCAATGACGAAAACAGCCGTTTTTTTCCAACTTGAAGAAACAAAATTTGAAGCGGAGCCTCCCAAGATGACAGTTTCTGGCTCTCCAGATGAAATCAAACACACTGAGTCTGGAAGTGACTCTGAAGCTTCATTAGAGGAGGAAATCTCCTCAATGGAGCTTGATTTAAAAGACGAGTTGCCCTCACCGGAAGAACCGCAGCCCGGATGGTCGGAAGCAGAATCACTGTCTGAGTTAAAGGTGGCAGAAGAACCATTCACCAAGTCTGAAGATCGGGATCAGGTATAGTTTCTCATATAATATTATGAATAATGTCAGACAGTCATTCTAGCCTACATATGGAATGGATTCAGCTGTTTTTGTCATCGCAGGTGGTTGCTCCGCTGCTGGATTTCACTGTGCAAAGGTCACGAATTGCTGTGAAAAACCCTCGTGTGCGGCCTCCCAAAGATCCCCGCTCCCTGCTTCATATGCCCTCAGTGGAGCCCACTCCCTCTGCACATGTGCCAGTCAAAGCCCCTATAGGTGTGCCGTTAGGAGGTCTGGGAATCGGAATAAAACTGCCAGGTAGGTCACTTAAGACACACGGAAAAGCTTCCAACTTGAGTTTATCATGTGCAGTTATTTTTCATTATCTCTAAATTGTGTCTTTGCAGGGCTTGGTGCAGGTTTTCCTGTCTTAAAAAAGACAAAGCGGGTCGTGAGAGAAGAAAACAGCCAGGAAACCCTCTCACAGGTACGGTTAATAATCTTTAATTATCATTTTCCTCGTATTGAGATATATACATTATTAAAATATCACGATATCAGCAGGAACCTGAAGCAAAGCCAGAGGAGAAGAGTGATGCTCTCCAACAGGTTGAGGCACAACCCAAACCTAAATGGACGCCACCGAGACACCCAGGGTAAAACAGCAGCAACCACAAAATACTGAGGCATCTTTCATTCAGGCAATTTCTGATTTTTATTTTTCTTATGTCTTCCCAGATTTGGAAATCCACTCATGTCTGAGCTGAAGACCAAACTGAAGAAAACCACACAGGAGTGAAAAGATTACTAAGTAATTATTTTGTGTAAATGTCTGAATAAAATATAAAAATGGCTTTATTTTTGTTGATCAAACTGAATATATTGCTAAACTTTTCATTGTGTCAATTATTTGCCCAGTGTTTAATTTTTATAATAAAGCATACCTGAAAAGGAATGGTGTTGTCTTTCATGGAAAAAGTGCCTCACAGGGTTTTAACGCACCATCACAGCCTCAACAGTTGGTGTCAGTAAACAGGAAAAGCACAATTTTCCCAAACATGAAGGGTATATTTTTTACATTTATGCAAAAGTGGATAATTACAAATTAAGGAAATTACATTTGGCCACACTACTCCCACAAAAGCTTGGTATTGTTAAAACCAAAAGGATGGACGCCACTGTTTGTGTTTTGAAGATCGTGGTCCATGGCACTTGTTCTCAAGTGTAATGTGTTTGTTATGCTTCACCATTTAAATATATTCTATCGATCTGCAAAGTAAAGGAAGGGAAAAAAATAGAACAGTGATAATTAGACAACAAGTAAGAGTGGCTGCACATTTTTTAAATGCCTAAATACAATTTCAAAACTTCCAGAAGACAGAAATTACAAGAATGTACTCGGTTTCTACATCTAGAACCAGTAGGTGGCATTGTTGTTCACTCGCCCACATTTAGACACACGAAGAAGAAATCTCGCGCTGTGATTGGTTGGAATCCTCCAATGAGCGGAAGAAACATTTAACATTTAAACCAGAGCGGCGCTACGCTGGTCGCTTTTTTGAAGTGTTTTTTCTGACTTCCAGTGGACGTTAGTGGAAAAGCGTTTCTTTTAACACTCGTAAGTGTCGTAAAGACCGTTTGAGATATTATCACAAACAGAAATATCCATCGAGAAGAGTCTGTTGATAGGTGAGTAAAGCTGCTGTCGTTCTTCAGGCAAACGTTACCAAACTGACATTAGCTTAGCCTCGTTGGGGAGTGTCTCATACTTCAGTCCTGGAACAGCTAAAGATCAAACTTTACATAACAAAGCTTTTGCGATCGAGTTTTTTTTTCTTTTCTTAAACGGTCGTATTGTGTGGGTTAGCTGTCCTGTCTGTGATCTTTCTCTGATGGCTGAAGTTGCCATGTTGTTGTATAAGTTAGTTTACGTTGTGTTTTTTCGGCCTAAAGTAATCTAATTGATGTATTTTAACGCTAGTCAAACAACCCCAATACACTACTACTTTATTTTATCATGGAAAGCGTGTTTTCACTCACTTGCTGTTGTACTGACTAGTTTGCATTTTATCTCTGGGCTCAATTTGAAGCCATGCAATGTTTAACCGTTTTGCCCCTGGGAGTTTGTAGGGGGCGCTATGGAGCCACTTTGAGACACACATTTACAAGTCCTATAAAATATTACATTTTTCTCCAGTCCTGATGTGTGTAGAAATTTTCACGAGTTTTTGAGCCTGTTTAAGCCTTGAAAAATGTGTTTGTTTTGTGCGGAGAGCAATAATAATTCCATACAATACAATTCTGACATTTTCTGGAGGTTTAGATTACTGGGGTCAGATTGAACCCAAGGATTAAAAGATGCCAATAAATTTGAAGGTAAGAAGAAGGTTAGGAAAAACCTTGTGCTTCAAATGTCACAAACATGATCCAGTGAATGAAACTGCAGTGATTGAAAGCCGGTTAGTTGTTAACTATTAAATCAGTTTCCAACTTCCAGTTTTGATCATTGATCAAACTGCGAATATTCTTTAAAGAAAGAAAGTTTACATTAAATGATTCCAGCTTCTTAAATTTGAATACTGTCTGGTTTCTTTACTCTTCTATGACAATGAAGTGAACATCTTTGGGCTGCAAACAAAACAAGACAACATCGACTTGGACTTTTAAACTACTCTGACTGACATTTTTCCCCATTTTCTGACTTTTTATAGACCAAACAACTAATTAATTAATTGAGAAAACAAACAACAGAGTAGGTGTTTCATTAAAGCTCAATCAATATTTGCAATTTAAACTAATGCAATTAACAAATCACAAAGGCTGCAATTCAGGATGTCACGTAGCAAAACTGTCGTGTCAGTGGCTTTACAATCTCATCTCATCCTGCTTGTGTGACAGTCAAGCTTTTGATGGTGGTAATTTTTCAATCTGTTTAGTGATCACAATGCATCCAATCAGTGGATGCTGAACTGAAGCTTGACTTTAAAAAACTGATTGCAAATCAAAACACAATCTCAATATCTGTCAGAAGAAAATGCAGTTAGATGTTTACACCAAATTTTTTGGCTTTGTTTGCATTAATTAAATCTTCCAATCCACAGGCTGCAGGCGTGGAGAGTCCGAGGAGATGCCTGAAAATATGTGTGAAGAAATGTAAGTTTCATGCCAATTTTTGTTTGTGTGGAAGCAACAGAAGAATCACCCATCATGGCCAATGAGACTACAGCACAAGCCTCATATATTCAGGAAAATCCAGAGGCTGATGAAAATATTTGCCCCGGAGTCACTTCTGCAGCTGGAGCTTCGAAGCTCAAAGTCCAGGTGGAAGATGTGACCGGATGTTCCTCTACACAACCACATGAGGAAAAGAAGACTCTGTCTGACAGCTTCACCTTTGCAACCCCAGCTCCAACAAGCAGCAATGGTGGAGGCAAGGCAAAGTCACGCCTCTCTACTCTCCAGTCTGCTCTAACGCCAGTTTTAAAATGCTTAAATATTGGCAACAAATGTCCTCCTCGGCGATCAGCTGGTGGTTCGGAGACTCCTGTGTACTGGCTGGCTGATGAATACTTGCCAGAAATGACATTACTTGATGATACATGTGATTCCACAATGCATCTGACTAGGAATGACTCAGCTCTTCCTGACAGTGCACCTGCGACACCTGTAACAGCCAGGCTTCCCACTCTCCAACCTCCCCGGTTTGGTTTCTCCACCAACTTAAAGTTAAATTCTGAAAACAATAATTCTGAAGTCCAGCCTCCCAAACTGTCGAAGCACATTATGACAACAGCAGGTACAGAGAATAATGCCAAGACTGCTGACCCCTCTGAGAGCAAGTGTGCTCCTGAATCCTTGCTGTTTGACAAGTACTTTCCAGAAATTACTCTCCTCGATGTTACACATGATTCAGAGCTCGGAGAGCAAATATCTCCCATGGATGTAAAACAGGATATTCCAGAGCTCAGTGGACATATTGTGGCAGAGCCGAGTGGATCGGACACAATTCAAAGCGAAGACAGGAGTGTGGGGGAAAATATGGTTAAATCTACCTTGGAAACGACTCAGGATGTTACAATGGGCAGTGTTTTGGAAAACAACAGGTCTTCATCAGAGCTCAGTGGACAAAGCATGGTGAAGCTTCAAACATCAGCTGAGGACACGCTTGGTTCCCAACCTGCTAATATTACTCGTGACATAAGCTCCACCAGTGGGATGTCTGCTCCGTGTCCACAGGTCTCTACTTCTGATATAGAATGTAACATTAGTTCAAAGACTGTCACCTCAGAGCTTCATGTTGAACCGGTGGAGTCTTCTGATACTGTGGAAGCAAACAATGAAGATCTACATTCCAGCCATGACACCAAGTTGACCAGCAAAGTGGTGCAACTCAACTCCACAACAGATGTCTCTGTGAACGGCACATTTGACGTGCAGCCCTCCGATCTGAGCGCTTCCACCAGTTTAAACACGACTACTCCAATGTCCTGCCCTCAAAACAACACAATTGATCTTCCTCCATCTAACGCATGCAGTCCTAAGGTGGGGATTGAAACTACAGATCAGACAACCTCGGTCACCACTGAAACGTCCCTCGTTACAGATCAGAATGGTTCAGCTGTAAAGCAAAGTGGTCCGTGTGATGAGCAGAACACCACATTTGATAGGCATTCTCTTCAGAAGTCGAGTGGCAGTACTATCATAGTGGAAGCTGCTGCTGCTACAACCTTTCACGCCCAGAACAACACTTTTGATTGTAAACCTCCTTCTAAGCAGAATGGTACAATAACTTTGTCAGAAACAAGCTCCAGTGATAGTCACCAGAGCACTATGGAGAAACCGCCCTCTCCTAAAGTCTGTAATCTAACCACTAGCCTTAAAGACAGCAATTCTGAAGTCCACCCCAATGAAGCGTCACAAGATAACGGGACAGCAGCTCCTACAGATGAGAATGGCGAGATGGCTGGAAGCCCTGAAACTACATGCGAAGCTAATGCTGTTGTTGAGGATGCACCTGGAGCTGGTAGATGTGAACCTAAGGCTCATTCCCCATCAAATCTGCCTGTGACAGAGGGTCTTTCTGACACTTTAAACCAACGAAGCACGGATTCTGAGAACAACAACAACACAAACACATTCAATTTGGATGACACGTTAGATTTGAGGGCAGACTGCTTGGTGACATCAACACCAATGACTAAAAACTTTAACTTTGCCACTTTGCCAGAGGAAAGCAAAACCATAGGCGCACAGAAAAAACTGTACGGAGACGGTCCCAGTCAACCAGCTGATCAGGCGCTGTCGGATATTCCACCAAACCTCGTATGTGACCGTAAAACGTTTTTCAGACCGCCCATTGTGAAAACCCTTTGCCCTCCTTCGAAAGCTACATCCCAGTTGTTGAGGCCCAAACCAGGATCCGCGCTTCCCGGACATGTGGAACCACGGATGTCCTGCCTGCCCATGAAAAGACAAAGAACCCAAGTGGACACTTTAAAAAATGCTGCTGCTTCTGATGCACCACAAGGGGTAGGACTTGATTGTCTTTTTGTAATCCTGAGTGTTTAAAGTGTGAATAGTGTCGTTTGTTTAATGAAGTTGATTCGGTTGCATGTATTGATGATGTCCTCTGTTCTTCTGTATTTAAGACCACAGGAATATCGAGCTCCTACAACTTACGTCCTCTAACAACAGGTACACAGTGTGTATTAAACAAGTTTTTTTATTTTTTTTTTGTCTTATTTCAGTTTTTTTTTTTCTAACATTTTTTTCCAGCCGTACAGCTCCATGCTGGTTTAATGCCCTTTGAGCGACAGATGTGTGTGAGCTCAGACACTATCTACACTCTCTTCCCTCTGTGCTGATGTTAGGATCCAAGCTGCCCAGTTCTGGCTTGCGGAGACCACAGCTGAGCAGCATACCATCGGGCATCCAGAGAGCCACACCGGGTCTGAGGCCACCGTCAGCAAAAAGCAATACACAAGCTTCTTCCAGCACCGACAAACTCTGTGGACCTACAGGTACTCGCACAGTCATCAGACTTATGAAAATTACAACCAGTTTTCACACATCTTTAAAATATTTTTGAAAAGGTGTTATTACTTATTTGTTGTTTTTTTTTTATTATCATTGCAATTAAAAAGAAAAACGTGTCTGTGTGAAATATCGGCTGCACTGGTGAATTAATCAGGATTTTTGCTGCTGGTGTGACATGCGTGTTCATTACTTTCAATCTAATGGTTTTTCCCCTCTTTATACACATACAGCTGCTAACCCTGTGACTAAGACTTTGCAAGCAAAGAAACACCCTTTAACCAGAGGCGAAGCTTTGCCGCTGTCAAAGAGGAAGAAAATGGGTAAGTACGAAAACTGTACAACTGTTACTATGTAGGTGTGAAAACTGGACTTTTCTGATCTCATCTAATGGACACAACCTACATTTAAGTCATGCCTGCCTCACACTTTTTTCTTCATCTTTCAGATGTGCCATCCAGTGGTGCTGAAGCCTCAACATCTGCCTGTAATATAAATAAAGCCAAAACCCTGAAACAGCCTGCAGCCAGTCAGAGAGCTAAAACCCAGAGAGATGGTAAGTTCTGACTGTGTCGTCATGCTGTTAAACAGAACAGTTAAGCCAGACTGTGGTGGGATTTGTGTTGCTGGATGGTTTTATGACTCAACCTTATCTCCCAAAATGTAGGTTTCTATACAACTAAACTGCATTTTCATTTAAGTTTTGAAAGAAACATGTTTTGTTCCTGAAAAGGTCAGATTGACAGAGTGGGAAATGCTTCCAGTCAGGTAGGAAGGAAAGGTGGCGGCAAAAGTCAGCAAAGGGACCTCCTGAGTGTGGCTCTCACCCCGTGTGGGGCCCGATATTCAGTTTTATTTATAACGTAATTTGAAACAACAGGAGTTGAACCAAAGTGCTGTACAGTTAAAATTCCTAGACTTACGTTTAGTTTTCAGTTGTTTACTTTTCACTCGCTGTTTGGTTAGATTTAGGCACCACAACCATGCAGCGGGCTTTAGACAAATATTTGGTTAAAATGCAAATTTTTCAACATGTTTGAAGGTTCTCCTCCATTTTCTGGGTTACCAGGGGGATGAGTCCTCCCCCATCGAATAAATTTGCAGAAAAGCAGCAAAAGTAAAACAATACATAGCACAAATGGCAAAAATGTGCTGATAAATCATCTTATTTGTGATATGTCACCAACACAGTAATCCGGCACAAATTATGTTTTTCTCAAAAAGTCACTGCAAATGCAATTTAGTCGCTAAGGAAAGTAATTTTCGGCAGTCAGGGCTGTATGACACGAGTAACCTGGACCTGCTGTGGTACTTTTTCTTCATTGCATGTTTTCAGATGCAGCTGTATCAACAAGTACTGCTGAAGCCCCAGTATCTTGTGATGCTACAAGCAAAGCCAGAAGCCTGAAGCCGCCTGCAGCCAGTCAGAGAGCTGTACCTGCTAAAACACAGAGAGATGGTAGGTTAAGACTGTATTGTATATGTATGTACTGTTTATTATATGGAACAATTAAGCCAGATTATCTGATGTGGTTTGGGCTGCTGGACGGTTTTCTAACTTCAGTAATCTGAACCTACTCTGGTATGTTTTCTTCTCCACATACCTTCAGATGCTGTAGTGCCTGCAAGTTCTGCTGCAGCCTCAACCGCCTGTGATGCTGCGAGCAGAGCGAGAGTCCAAAAACCGCCTGTAAGCAGCCATAGAGCTCTGCTCGCTAAACCCCAGGGCCATGGTAAGTTGGGAGAGCTGAGATGGTAAAATTGACAATTGAAACCACTGGAGATCTTCTGAGACCCATTTAATCATATCTGTTGGCATTCAATCATTGGCCCATCCTGTGTGTCTTTCTATGGAGCTGTTTTCTGTATGTTTGCTCAACGTACAGGTTAGCCATGTGTATAATAACATCTCGTACACAGCTAACATGAATGTTTTCTGATGTTAATGTTTCTAGTAACACTTGTTCACACAGAACTGACTCAAGCTTATTAAATTTATACATGTTAAACACATCTATCAGATCAAACAGTAATAAATGTAGCACTAAGACAGAGCAAAGGGCTCATGCATTAATACAGACAGTAATATAAAGTAAGACAGAATGTAGAGACAGGACTGGTGTCATAAAGGATATATTTCAAATACAAACTACAAGGTTTCCCCTTCGAAGTACCGTAATCCTCCTGGAGTCTAACACACTTCCCTAGCCTTCTCTGCCATGCCGCCATGCACTCCTGGAAGGATTTTTCCGAGATCCTCCGCAGTTTTGTCGTCACAGCCATCTTGATGTCGTCCACGTCTTCTAAACGGGTCCCCTTGCTGACCCCCTTGAGCTTGGGGAAGAGTAAAAAATCCCACGCAGCCAGGTGGGGTGAGTAGGGAGGTTTCTCCAGCACGGTGATGTTCTTCTCAGTCAGGACCTGTGGGATGCTCAGGGCGTTGTGAGCAGGCACGTTGTCATGGAGAAGCAGCCACGACTTGTTCTGCCACAAATCTCGCCTCTTCTCTCGCACTGAATGAATCAAACGCCGCAGGATGTCTTTGTAGATGTACTGGTTGATGGTCTGAAGGGGAAAACTCGTAGTTTGTATTTTGAAATATAGTCCCGGAACTTTTCTGACACACCTCGTACAGTTACATTAAAACATGTAAAGGATTAATTGAAAGGCACCTTTTCCTCAGTCGTATGATGATTTAATTGCTTTTTTTTTTTTTTTTTTTTTTACAAAGCAACTTGCTGCAATTCTCTGGAATGAAAGACATATCTGAAGTTTTGCCTGAAGCTGACACGCCAGCATCTTGACTTAAACGAGTCAAACGAGTATCTTTCGAGCTCCAGTCCTTTTAGTGTCAAGTATCTGGATCAGAAAATGTATTTTATTCCTCATTCACTTATGTTGGAGGCAGTTTAGGAAGGAATCTTTCCAGCAATTAAAACCTGTTTCAGTGTTCATACCGAACCTAAATGCTGTTTTAAGACAGACTTGTTCCTTGAGCTCAAACTGGTGTTTCTCCACAATGACTGCATAGTGGTGCCTGCAGGAAGCAAGAGGGAAGTTATAAACCGAGTACTCGGCCTCTTTAATCCATGTCTGACATACAGGAAATACAAAATGGAAGGTGAGAAACTCTATCATCCGTATTGTAATGGTTCACACTGTGTTGCAGCTTGTGCCAAATGTGGTGAACTGGAAGAGCAACTCAAAGAGAAATCAGAGGAAATAAGGAGACTAAAAGAAGGTATCACCTGTTCCTGTGTTTTTATATCAATCCATTTACTGGAAACACTTAAAAATGCAAGTTCTGTGCTTTTTACGGTTCCTCAAATAAAGTTGTCTGGACTGTTCTGCATGTGAGAATATCAGCGCTTCATTCCATCAGATCATGCTGTCGTTGGATTATTAGATCTGTACAGAGTCATGTTTTAGCTCCTGTGTACAACTTTTAAAAAGATTTTTATGCTTTATGCAACTGTGTCAAGATCCTAGTGTTGATTCATTGTGTTGCGTGTTATACATGTTTGTGTCACTGATGCAATTTTCCTTTTTTTCCCCCCAGAGCTGCAGAAGTACAGTAAACAAGAGGAGGAATGCTGATTGTTCCAACAGAACATCTTCAGTGTGGCTTTAACAAGAAAATCATGGTTGGAGAAGTTTTTTGTTGTTGTTGTTTTTTTAACCCTCAATTATAAATCGAACAACAGATGTATTTTAACCCTACAGAATATTAAAATAATGTTATGGAGCCTCATTACAAACAAATCTCCATCATCTTCTTTTAATACCCTACAGAATAATACAGATGATTATGGAGATTTGTTTGTAATGAGGCTAAAACTGTACATTTTCTCTTGTATTGTGTGTAGACTGAACACCCTAAATTGTTCTGTATTTATGTATAACATTGAACTGTTGATGTTTATATCCTGTATTATGGAGTGGAGGGCTGCCAGTGTTATACTCTGAGATACTTGGAAGTTTCTTCAGGGTATACATGAACCTGTGATATTATAAATAAATGTGTTGTGAAATACATTC